TCCTGTCCCCAGGCCCTTCCTCCCCATGCTCTCCTCCCAAAGGCCCGCCACACACCTGTCCATCGGGAGTCGGCTCTTTCTCAGCCCAGGTTCTGGGTGTTGAAACAACATCAGAAAAGCATAAGGAGATTATTTCCTATGACCTGATTTTGTAAAAATAGACTTTATAAAAGAAGATGAGGACAGGAGTGGTATTTGCTCACCTAGTAGTTACTCTAATTATAGACGGTTGGGTGTGACGGGCACTCTTACTGGGTGACATGAGGGTTGCATCAGACAGGATGTCTCCTTCCCAACTTCCCCTGGTAATGCCCCAATGGGCAGCTTTAAATGACAACCTGATGGTTCTGCAAATGGGGCGCCTCCCCATGAGCTGAATTGGGGGGGCCTGGGCAATTTTGTATTCCCAAGGATGTTCCAGTCCCAGAGCTTAGCTTGATTCCCCCGAGATTTGCTGACTTGCTGTTTCTCTAGGGATAATGGGCATTTTGTCTGGGGGGGGGGGGGGAACAGCCACTGAGACATTCTCATTTGGAAAAAGGAGAAAAAGCCTATTCCCATTACAGTACAGTGTTGTGTTCACGTCCCCCCTCCCCCCGTAAAAAAAAAATTACCTTCTGCTTCTGCTATTTAGCAGTGAGATTTCTGTTCCACCAACGTGCGAGGGTTAGGATGATGTAAATCCAACATTCAAATTAGGAGCTTCCACTCCCATGGGACCTAGAATTAGGCCCAGGATTTAAAAATAAAAAGCGGAGCCTGGCGTTAAATGAATTCAGCACCTCTGAATTGAGTTGTTGCTTTTCCTTGGCTATTTATGAGAGTGGACATCTGGGAATTTTTTTTTTTTTTTAGATAGGAGCTCCTTTTTATTGATGTGGTGGTGGGCTCTGCCGAGCAGCCCCTTTACATTTAAGAGCATTTTTCTTCTTCTGTTCTTCTTCCTGCACCTTCTGCTGCTGCTTGAGCTGCCATGCTCCTAATCCAGCATCCATTTCCTGTGACAGCAGTACAACTTGTCTTGGGAATTTTTCTCTTTGAGCTAGTCTTCGAAGCTGGCCTTTCATCGGAGGAGCAGGGCGGCCATCCGAGTAAGACCAGTCTGGAAGCTCTTTCAGGGGCCCATAGCCTGTAGCCGGAGAGATTGGCGGCCATGCCCTGTTGGAATCTCCACTCACTCCCCGCCCTCGCCACCGCCCTGTCCGGGCACCTGTGCGGAGCAGGATACCTAAAGCAGCCATGCTTTGGGCAAGGGACCGAAAGTCAACATCTGGGAATTTAAAAAAATATATATATATTATTGATTTTTTTACAGAGAGGAAGGGAGAGGGAGAGAGAGTGTCAGAAACATTGGTGAAAGAAACATCAATCAGCTGCCTCCTACACACACTTCCCTCCCTCACCCCCCTACTGGGGACACGCCAGCAACTAAGGTACATGCCCTTGACCCAAACAGAACCTGGGATCTTTGAGTCTGCAGGCCGATGCTCCATTCACTGAGCTAAACTGGCCAGGGCCATCTGGGAATTTTTGTTTGAGGGTGGAGCTCCTCAAAGAGGCTGCTTATGCCTTTAACAGATGTCACACCCTGGCCCTCCACAAACCACATCCAGTCGGCTGGTGTATTTAGTTTGGTCCACCTGGTGGTTTTGTGTAAAATAAGAATCAGTTGTCAACATTTTAAACAATAGTTTTATAGAAAATAAACAGGCTTATATAAATATAGATTAATATAAATATAGATTTATATAAACACACACTTATGTAAAAATATAGATTTCTGAATTGTCTTGAGGAAAAAGTAAAACCAGATGAGGTCCTAGTTGGTTTGGCTCAGTAGATAGAGCATCTGCTTGCAGACTGAAGGGTCCTGGGTTCAATTTTAGTCAAAGGCACATGGCTGTAGGCTCGATCACCAGTTGAGGGCGTGCAGGAGGCAGCCAATCAATGATTCTCTCTCATCATTGATATTTCTCTCTCTCTCTCTAAAAAAAAAAATCAATAGAAATATTAAAAACAAAACAAAGCCTGGCCAGTTTGGCCCAGTGGATAGAGCGTTGGCCTGCAGACTGAAAGGTCCTGGGTTCGGTTCTGGCCAAGGGCATATGCCTGGGTTGTGGGCTTGATCCCAAGTAGGGGTGTGCAAGAGGCAGCCAATCAATGATTCTCTCTAATCATTGATGTTTCTATCTCTCCCTCTTCCTTCCTCTCTGAAATCAATCAATAAACATATTAAAAAATAATTAAAAAATAAAAACCAAACCAAACCAAACCAAACCAGATGAGGTAGTCCTGAGTCCTGAGATGTTATTTTCACTTGGGTAGCTGGTGGATGGTGAGCCCAGCAGGAAACGTACAAGGGGGATCAGTAACAGGAAGGGTGGGACCAAGATGACCCGTTTTCTTCCATAACTACCTCTCCAGGCCCGAACCTCAATCCCAAGGAACATTCAGTTCTGAAGCGAAATGCCTCTTCCTAAATACCTCCCCAAACAGCTGAAAGCAGCACATCTGGGCTGCCCCTTTGCTAACCACAGAATCAGCTTTAGCCCGCCCCTCCTCTTGCCTGCCACGCCCCTTCTCCATCTGTCACCAGGCCCCGTGGTGTGTCACATGGCCCTTAACGTCTAGCTAGTATGAAATGAGATGTGCTGTAAGTGAAGAAGACACACTGGGTTTTAAATACTTATGCAACCATTATCATCATCATCACCATCACATCATCATCTAAAATAGCTGATTAATCATTTTACATCGATTACCTATTAAGATGGTATTTTTGACATCTTGGGTTATATTAAAATGTACTTGCCCCTTTCTTTTTGCCCTTTTTAAATGAGGCTTCTACAAAATTTAAAATTCCACATGAGGTTCACAGTGGCTCACATTGTCTTTCTGTTGGACAGCACTACCTCAAAATATCTCTTGGTGTAGAGGTGCTTATTATTGTTACAGGGCAATCATAATGCAGTATATAAATGTGTCAAATCAACATGTTATTCACCTTAAGTTTATACAACGTTACATGTCAACCATATTTCAATTAAAAAAATATCTCAAGTTTGTCCTAACCTATTTGACCTTGCCGCCATCCAATAGCATAGTAATATCTCACAGACATTCACTCCTAGAATATCACATTAGTTTAGGCTTCCCCTACCTCTTCTAATCTGTTTTGCACACCCTGGCTGAGTTTATCTGACTAAAACACTGCTTTTATCATGAAACAGTCCTGCTCAAACACTAACACCAGCTCCCAATTCTACTCCACGAAGTCCAAACTCTTCATAATAACAACTTCCACTTTTAAAACTTGTTCAGCACCCCGTGCAGTTCTCCCAGCAACCTAGCACCTAGCAGACCAGACACTTGGTTTTCTAAATAGAATAGAAAGGACTGAAGCTTTTGCCTGAGCTGGAAGGGCGAGGGAATACATCTTTGATCTGAGAGGTCATAAAGATGATGCAGTCAAAGCATACGAACAGCAGCTCCTTCCACTTAGGATGCTTCTGCAAACACCACACAATCAACCAAAGAGCAATCACACACAATGTGAGTCTATGAGACAAACTATTTTTACATCAATCGAGAGAAGAAACTATATTTGCATTTCAGAGAACCCAAACCGGAAATCCAACCAGAAAAGCTTAAGTGAAATAGTCCTCTCTTCTCTCATCCACTTTATGTCCAAGTGTCAAAACAGATAAGTTTGAACTATAACAATTTGAAAAGCTGTGACATAACAATAATTGAAATACGATTTCATCTCAAAATTTGAAAAGCATGAATTAAAATTCCTCAGGAATTAAATAAATGTAAAGCTTGCAGGGCTGACAGAGGTAATGATTCATAAACCGTGCTGGTAATTCTACACGGAAGCATGTTTTGACCTGGGGAAATTAGACCCTTTGTCATCTCGAATTACATGAGTTTTGCATTGTGTATTCACAACTTCATACCTTTCATAAAACACATCATCCTATACATTTTTTTTTTCAGTTACAAAAATCAAATAGGATTTGTCCAATACTGTCTAGTAGAGCCGTTTGGTGCTTGGATCTTGAAATCAGACCCACCTTCTCCATGGCAATCATGTTACAACATATAAATGTGTCCAACCAGCATAGAATACACCTTCCATTTAAAAACGCCCTGTACCATTTATTGTATTACTTTGGACAGGTTGGTTAGCAGTCCCCGGCTTCAGCTGCCGCTTCTTTAAAAATGGGCATCATTGTACTTTCCTCACAGCGTTTCATAAGAATTCAACGAGATAATACCCATCAATACAGAGCTTGGCATGTAGTAATTCTCCGCGGCGGCCGTGCAATGGCAAGATAACGTATCTGCCTGGCCTTAGCATCCTCATTTGAGTAACTTCTTTTTCAAAGCAGCTTGGAGACTCGACAGAAGGGTGGGGCTTCGGCGTCTCACGCTCTCTACTCATCTCCGTAAACTTAATAGACCCAGCGTTACACATGACGGGAGGAGAGGGGGGACTGGGTGGGGTACGAGCCAGAGAATCCGCCGGTCCCCTCCGCGGCCGCCCCGACGCAGATGCCGGCCTGGAGCCAGCAGGTCGGGCCGCAGCCGCTGCATTGGCTCTCTCTTTTCTCCCGGCCGGTCAGCCGCTCCGGCGATGAAAACACCACCACGTGGCCTGCCGCCGCCGCATCGGGCGCCGTCGCCCAATGGCGAGCCACGTCACGGAGCTGAGGGCGGGTCTCCGGCGAGGCAGATCCGCCCACCGCCGTCTCCCATTGGCCAAAGGCGCGCGGCAGCATGGGCTCGTGGCCAATAGCGGCCCGAAGTTAGGACCCCGCCCTCCTAGTCGCCCCGCTCGGCGGCACCGGCGGGAGGGGCGGGGCGAAGAGGAAGAACGGGGCGGGGCCGGGGCGGAGAGGGGCTGGCGACCCGGCCCGCGGAGCCGGCGCCAGCGGGCTGCTGAGGTGGCCGTCGCCGGCTCGGAGTTGCAGCTTCCCCGGGCCGAGCGACCCCCGATGGAGGCCGAGGCCGCGGACGGCCCCGCAGGCGGGGCCGAAGCAGCGCTCAGCTGCTTCTCTTTCAACCAGGACTGCACGTAAGCCGCGGAGCCCGCCGGCCGGGAAGCGGGGGGCGGAAAGTCGCGGCCAGGGAGGGGTGTCGTCCTGTCTGCAACTTGTGGCCATAGAGGCGCGGGCCTGCGCCCCGAGAGGCCGGCGGCGGGACGGCCGGCGCTGGCCCCGACCGGTTGGGGTCTAGGTAGCCACCTCCTCTCCCCACTTCCTCCCCAAGCAGGGGGTTTGGGGGGCGGCCCCCCAAAACCCTTGCTCGGTGGAGAGCCCGGAGGGGCTGGCCGAGGGTGAAAGAGGAGAGGCAGCCAGGGGAGGAGAGCCGGAGAAAGCTAAGAAATGGGGGTGTGGGGTGGTGACCAAAGTGGGGGGTCCGGGGAAGGAGTGGGCAGAGAGACCAAAACAAAGGAGGTGGGAGGGGAGGGGCCGGCTGCAAGCTGACCGAGGCGTGGTGGCTGGGCCCAGGAAGACCCGAGTCCAGGAAAAACTTTCCCATTTGTCCCGGAGCATCTCAACGTGGCATTTGGGCAGGGCCTCGGCCCGAGAGGCAGCCTATCCCTGCGGCCAGGCCGGCCCCCGGCCCAGCCCCCGGCGGCGGGGCATCGGGCCTGCCCACTCGGGATGGGATGTCAGGATCCTTTCCCTCCGCTCGCCTGAGGCTCAGCGAGGCCGAGCCGCCCTGCCCACGAGCCCGTTCTCCGTGCTCCACCCTGTTGCTTTTTTTGTGGAGTGGATTTTTTCATGTTTCCCCTGGATGTTCATGCTTGGACTTGGGCCAGAGAGCTTGGGATTTACCCAACTGTATTCCAGGCACCCGGAGAATTTTTTTTTTTCCTTCCCTGCTTTTTTGTGGAGTTGTTCGATGCCAGCCCCGGGGACCATATGGAATAACCTCTTTGGAATGTAACCCCCAGCGCATCAGGCCGGGATGGCCTCTCCCGGCTCCCCACTTCCTGCTGTACCAGTTTCTGTTGTGTTCTTGTTTGGAGTCAGCTTCAGGCTTGTGCTTTTGGCCTGCGCCCGGGCTGTGCTAATATTGAACCTTCCGTGGTGTAATTAAGGCCATCATGTACCATAAGCAGTTCTGGCTCCCAGTCCCTTTGTCTTTCTGTTTAAAAACATCCCATGCCAAACAGTGTGTCTTTGTTCAAAACACTGTATGTGTGATCCCCAGTCATCTGATTGCTGGGCAGCCTGGTCAAGATGTGTGTAAGTTTGACGCTTTCTTTTAACCCACAATAAGAAATAGATGTTACAACATCACCCCATTTCCATATACAAATAATACCACTAAAAAAAAAAAAAAAAAAGTGCACCACAGGATGGTGTTTACCTCTATTATGGGCAATCCCCGCTGGCATTTTCTGTTTCCTTTTTAAAAGCCATGTGTGATTCCCTGAATTATTTTTAGGATTCACTCATGGTTTGAGACCCACAATGTACAAAAAAATGATAGTCTAGATAAAAATTCTGATGTTTTGTAAGAAACATTTTGCAAGAGGGGATGGCTGTTGAAATGCCTAGGTGTTTTCCTTCCTAATTGAACACAGTTTAAGGAGAGGAGTTATTTTGCTTATTAGCAAATGTTCTAATTTCTGCTTTATAGCATTGTTTGTTTGATTATTTTTTATTTTATATTTTTGTTTTTAAAAATTGATTTCAGAGAAAGAGGAAAGGAGAGGGAGAGATAGAAACATCGATCTTGGCTGCCTCTTCCTGGGAATGGAGCCTGACACCCTGGCATGTGCCCTGACCTGGAATGAAACTTGGTGACCTCTTGACCTCTGGGTGCCTGGGGCAACACTCAATCAACTGAGCCACACCGGCTAGATCTTACTAATGTTAAAATATATATTTTTTAAATTTTCATCCGAGGATATTTTTCCACTGGTTTTTTAGAGAGAGAGGGAAAAACAGGAGAAATATCGATGGGAGAGAAACACATGGATTGGCTGCCTCCTGCATGAGGCCTGACCAGGGCCCGGACCAGGGAGAAGCCTGCACCTGAGCTTCATGCCCTTGACTAGAATGGAACCTGGGACCCTTTGGTCTGCAGGCCGACACTCTATCCACTGAGCCAAACCGGCTAAGGCAAGTCATGTTGATCTTTATTCTAGTTAAGTCCAGGCTTTCATAGCAGTTGGATACGAATGTTATTTTCACATCTGCAGGGTGCTTGGAAAGTTAATTTCCTTCGTCGCTACTGTCAGTTCTGTTTTTTTGGATGAAGGCTCTGCTGGGCAGCTCTGTCTCGCTATAAATAAGTTTTTGTCACAGTTGTCTTGAGCCACAGAGGGTATGACACTGGATTTTAAAATGAGTCGAGCCCCATACCAAGCACATTTAGGATGACCAGTGTGTCTTTCCTCTAAGTGTAGTCTGAGTTTGAGATCTAATGTGTCTGGAGAAGGTGGGTGACGATGGCTCCCCTTCACTCACGCTTCCTGCGTGGCCCTGTGCCCAACACCTGGGGTGCATGTTTCCATTTGATTGGAGAGACCCGTGTGTCCCAAACCCTGTGCCCATGAGAGGGGATGAGAATTTTTTTTTTTCCCCTGTAAAAGGGCTTTATGGATAAAATAGGGTTTTCATCTGGATTCTTTGATTCAGAGATGTTTGTAGCCATTGATTAATCATTTACAACATAAATAGTGACCTCGCCCATTTTCTCATATATAAAATTCTTCTGTGCAGGAGGTAGGGCATATGTTTAAAAATTATTTTACATAGCCAGATCTTTTGGTTAACATCATAAGACTCTAGTTACATTTTTTGTTGTTGTTATTTGAAAACTTTAGAAACCTCTGTTTACAATGAAATGTGAAAAGGTTTATGTGAAAACATTTAAAACACTAAACCCTACAGAGTGCGTTTGGAAGGTTTAAGATGCTGCTGGCTTGCCTTTTCAGTATCTGACATCACCGAGGCTCTGTTTGCAGATGCCAAACCTACTCACCCTCTGAAGCAAAGGGCTGGCACCATGCTAGCCACAGGGCAGGTTGGAGGGCTCAGGAACAGAAGCCCTTGCCTCGCTGATTACAAGTTGACTCTAGTCACAGATCCATGTGTCCCAGGGAAGAACAAATGTTTGGAAAAATGTTAGGAAAAAAAAAAATATTCCAGAGAAAATCATGTGACCATCTCTTTTTTAGGCGAGTGAAACCAGAGCCGTGGCCACCTGCCTTGTCGCAGTACGCTAGATGCTTATTTTAGTATAGGCTGCTCTGTGAAGAGCGAATCTCACCTTTTCATTTGTTTCGTGTTTGTTTTTTTAAAATAATGTATTTTAATTGATTTTTAGAGAGAGAGGAAAGGAGAGGTAGAGAGAGAGAGAGAGAGAAACATCAAGGATGAGAGAGAATCATTGATCAGCTGCCTCCTGCATGCCCCCCACTGGGGTTCGAGCCCACAATCTGGGCATGTGCCCTGACCAGGAATCCAACCCGGGACCTTTTGGTTCCTGGGTCAACGTTCAACCACTGAGCCACACCAGCCGGGCTCATGTGCTTGTTTTAAATGAGGAAGTTGGACTAACTTTGAGGTCCACTGAGGCCCATGTTAAGGTTAGGTGCCTTTCAGCTCAGATACTCCATTTCCCCAGGATGGAAAGTGCTCAGGGTCAGACTGCTGATTCTGCGCATCTTGTGTGTCTGATTCGGTTCATCACTCAAGTCTTAGGGGCAAAGCAGGGGAGAGCTAGATGGGGATTCCCCGCTGCTGAACAAAACAAGCTTCGTGTTCAGTTGCCTTCATCCTGAGGCCAAGCAAACCTGGCTTCACACTCCGTCTTTAGCTATGGGTTGGGAAGTGAAAAATTTAAAAACGATTTTTTTTAAAGCTGACCTTGTCCCAGATAAGAGTTTAGTTTTTGTTTTGTTAGTTTATAGAGCATATTGTTTTGTTAGTTTGTAGAGCATAACAGAGGTGGACAGTGATCAGTATATATATATATATATTTTTTTTAATTTCCCAAGTGACTTTAATGTCCATCCAGGGATTAGAGCCACTGGTATAAAGTATCTGGGAAAGTTTCATGGAAAGTGGTCAAAGGAAGCATCTATTAAATTTTGCCTACTAATGACCTACTATGCCTACAAGGAACATGTATTTCCTTTTTAAGCAAAAAGAAGAAAAGTCGTCAAGGGAATAAAAAATGGCATACCTCTTGGTATAGTACCTCTCCCACAACCAAAAGACCCCCGATTGTGTTGGTGGCACCGTGGTGAAAAGTCTTGAACAGCCCGTTTTCCCTATTTCTGCTCAGCTGGGAAAGCATGGTCTCTGGCAAGGTCGACATTTCCTTTGATGGTTGAGCCCATGAAGTTTTATGTCTCTTAGCCATTTCACATTTCTGTGTCTTTAACCTCATCCCTTCTACCATGCCTGCCCACCTCACAAGGTGTGCTTCACCAAGTAGAAAGTTACCACATAGCACCTGGCCAGTGTGGCTCAGGGGCTGAGTGTTGGCCTAGGAACCAGGAGATCACAGTTCGATTCCCGGTCAGGACACATGCCTGGATTTTGGATTCGATCCCCAGTGTGGCGCATGTAGGAGGCAGCCGATCGATGATTCTTTCTTGTCATTGATGTTTCTATCTCTCTCTCCTTCTTCCTCTCTCTGGAATAAATAAAAACATGTTTATTTGTTTTAAGAAGAGAGGAAAATATCATTAAAGCATTAAAAAAAAAAAAAAAACGTAGCCAATATTGAAGCGCCTGAAGATGTTGGTTGGTCTGCCTCCATGAGGTAAGAGGGAGAAGGGGTGTCAGTCTTCACGGCTGTGGCTGGGATCCAGTACCTGCTGTCATTCCCAGCCTCTCGTTATCGCCCGCAGATCCCTAGCGATTGGAACCAAAGCCGGTTATAAGCTGTTTTCATTGAGTTCTGTGGAGCAACTGGACCAAGTCCACGGCAGCAGTAAGTGTGTGCGTGTGAGGTCTCGGGATGCCAAATCCTCCCTCTGGACTTTAATCCGTGCTGCTCCAGAGCTGTCTGCCTTTCTCCCCCTTACCCATCAGACTCGAGTCAGTATTTCTCAGGTTAAACATAAATCAGTGTCTTCACTTGCTTTAAAACCAAAACCATAGCAAAGCACAAAACCTAGCAGTAACTTAGGTAACATTTTATATTAAGAAATCCCTTGCTTGGAACCCTACTGTTGACAATTTTTCATATACATATACGCACCGCCATCAGTTTTTACAGTTGTCATAGCAAAAGGTCAGTTAGGATTCCCCACGCCCTTTCATTATATGTATAATATTCCCCACTGTATAATATAGGTAATGTTTTCAGCCATGGAAGTATGTTCTTTGCTAATAAAGCAATACAACCCCATGGACATAGTCCACATTGAAGATGCTGGAGCACTGCTAGCAAATATTTTTTTTAAAATTCAGCTTAGAAATGTGACTCTTATCTTCCCAAGGAATGTAATATTAATAGTTTATGCCACCATAATAGTGAAGAATATAATCTTTGGATTTCCTGGAAAGAAAGTGGTTTGGTAACTAATAGATTGGGCTCCTGATTTGTTTGTGAGATGTTATTTTTAAATTTTTTTAAAAAATTTTAAAATATATATTTTATTGATTTTGTACAAAGAGGAAGGGAGAGAGATAGTTAGAAACATTGATGAGAGAGAGTCATCGATCAGCTGCCTCTTGCACACCCCCTACTGGGGATATGCCCGCACCAAGGTACATGCCCTTGACCGGAATCGAACCCGGGACCCTTCAGTCCCCAAGCCGACACTCTATCCATTGAGCCAAACCGGTTTCGGCCTGTTATATTTATTATGCCATTTTCATGGACGACTTGCTCTGTATCTGTCCTGGGTTGCTCCCTACGGGACTTGCCCAAGATCAAGAAAGGCATGCATAGGAAAAGAGTATTCTTCAGCCCTAGCCGGTTCGGGTGAGTGAATAGCGTGTCAGCCTGCGGACTAGGAGTCCCAGGTTCGATTCCGGCCAAAGGCACATGCCTAGGTTGTGGGCTTGATCCCCAATAGGGGGCGTGCAGGAGGCAGCCGATCAGTGATTCTCTCTCATCATTGATGTTTCTATCTCTCTATCCCTCTCCCTCTCTGAAATCAATAAAGAAATATATATATATTTTAAAAAAGAGTATTCTTCGGAGGCCCACTAATGTACCTTCTTCCCGAGTACAGAGGTGCTTCCCTGGTCATAACACTGATGTCCAGATGGTTTTCAACTGGAAAGGGATTCCAGAAATTGTCAGGGAGCATAGCTGGATGGGGAGGGGCTATAGGTTTTGCTATGTCACTGCCCCCATGGTGGTCCCCCTCGTAGCAATAGGAACAAGAATTCTGAAGGCAAAGGCTCCTGACAAAGCAGTCACTTCTTTGAAACCTCAAAGAATGAGAAAAGGGTAGCTGAGATGGCCCAAACCCCTCATTATGTTTCACAGAGCAAACAGTGGCGGGCACCCCAGGGCCCTGGAGGGGAGCTCTGGAAATTCTGATTTGGTGTTTGGTCGCTAGCATCTTCTTTAGATATGTGAAAGGACTGTTTCACTGGGAAGTGGCTAAAGCTTCCCCAGGGCTGGGGGGCATTGCAAATGCATTCTAATGGGGGGTGCCCAGTCAGCAGGACCTAAGGGATGCAGGCTGGCTGGCCGAGGCCGGAACCCGGGTCACCTTGGCTGCTTTCCCTCCCAGATGAAATCCCGGACGTGTACATCGTGGAGCGCCTCTTCTCCAGCAGCCTGGTGGTGGTGGTCAGCCACACAAAGCCGCGGCAAATGAACGTCTATCACTTTAAGAAAGGCACGGAGATCTGCAATTACAGCTACTCCAGCAACATCTTGTCCATAAGGCTGAACCGACAGGTAAGCGGGGCAAGATCCCTCCGGATTGCAAGGCTGTTGCTGGTTGGGACCGAGCAGAAAGATGGCTATCGTTCAAGAGGAATGCCTCTAAAACAAGCATCACATTCTACTGGGCATTTTCATCCTCAGGCCTCTATTTATGGGGCTCCTGTAAAGAGAGTCTTAACTCCACGCACTTGTCTCAGTGGCGGGTCCTCCCTGGTCCTCCTGCCTCTTGTTCTTTCTCAAACGTCGGCCACCCGTGAGGGGAGCCCTCCCCTGGGTGCAGGCTGGGCGGGCCTCTGGCTCTGAAACCCTGAGCTGTTGCAGGGACACCTTCACCACAGAGGGCCACCTCTCAGGTTCGGGGCCCCGATGGTGGCACTCGCTGCAGACTGGCGGTCACGTCTCTTGGAAGGAAGCTCCTGAGGACAGCGTGTGGTCCTCCTGGGGAGGCTCTGCAGCCGGTCAGTAAAACTGCCCAGCGGGCCAGGTCCTCCAGCTTCCACGCCTCTTCCGCCCAGCTAGCCCTTGAAGATTTTTCTTGTAGTGTTTTCTTTGTTGAAGGAAGGCTTATTCTTATCTCAACTATGCAGCACCTTCTCTTGAAAAATACCCGTTCTTGTTAAATAAGTGGTTGAGGTATTAGCTGAGTTTCTGTTGAATTATTAGATTCTACATCCTAGGAGCAGGGCAGAGCTGTGTCTGGTTTTGATCACTGCTGTAAGGCCTGGTGGGAAAGATAGTAAATGCCTGGTGGAAAACTCTTCCACAGATGCCTGTTTCCTGAGCACCTGGTCCATAAACAAACAGAGACAGTCTCTGCATGACCGCATAGCTCTGTCCGTGAGGCAGACGTTCCCGGGAGGGTGGAGGTCCAGGACAATGGTCTCTCCTGTCTTTGCACCTCGAGGAAGTGCTGATTAACTTTTTTAAACAAACGAGACAGTTTATGGTAAGGAAGAGATTATTCCTTTGAGTTGATCAAATATTTTCATTTGAGTCTCCACTTAAGCCTGCATAAAAGCAGAGAACAGCATGAGAAATAGGATATGGGGGATATTTATTTATTTATTTATTTATTTAAAAATATATTTTATTGATTTTTCACAGAGAGGAAGAGAGAGGGATAGTTAGAAACATCGATGAGAGAGAATTATCCATCAGCTGCCTCTTGCACACCCCCAACTGGGGATGCACCCGCAACCAAGGTAATACCCTTGACCGGAATTGAACCCGGGACCTTTCAGTCCCCAGGCCAACGCTCTATCCACTGAGCCAAACCAGTCCCGGCATATTTATTTATTTATTTTTTATGCAAAGAGGAGCTGGAGTAAAGAAGAAAATAAACCCGGGTTCTTAGCAAGAGAGGAAAAGGCAGTTAGAGAGTTTTCAGCCTGAAGGCTTTTAATTTCCAGCACAATGCCTGGTTCAGGTGCTCCCTCTAAGTCTGTTGGGAGCACGTTCAATGTTGTTGTCGAACTGTCTTGTTTTATCCTCTGCATGTAGGAGTAATCAGTGTGGGAACATTAACTATCCTCTTTCCGTAGCCGATTGTCTCTCTAAGGTTGTTTAGGCCAATGGTCGGCAAACTCATTAGGCAACAGAGCCAAATATCAACAGTACAACGATTGAAATTTCTTTGGAGAGCCAAATTTTTTAAACTTACTCACCCAGGCCGTGGTATTTTATGGAGGAGCCACACTCAAGGGGCCAAAGAGCCGCATGTGGCTCTCGAGCCGCAGTTTGCTGACCATGGGTTTAGGCAAATGTCCTGGAAAGATCAGAATTCTCCCATAGTATCTATGGCATGTCTTTGTATAACTTCTCTCTTACTTGCTCTCTGATATTTTCATTATCGAATGGGACAAGGGAGGGTTATTCCAGTGTCCAACCCAGTCTGTTGACCTTTAGATGTCACCCCACTCAGCATAACACTCATTGCCTCTAGGGCTCTCCTCCCCCACCTCCCAAAGGACAGGAATGCACCTGGAATTACCTGGCTGATCAAGGCCAACCTAATGTGAATCCAGGGCCCACATTTCTGCTCCTGAGAAGGTGCTTTGGAAGCATTTGGGGTTTGCTGTTCTTAAAACATTCAGGTTTAGGCCTTATCAACTTCTGGTTTAGGCAACTCCTGCAGCCCTCAGATAGATAGAAAGGAAGAATATCTAGTGATCGTAATATTTTAGATGTGATTCCCCTCCGGCACTTAATTGAGGAGATGCATTCAACGGAATTGTAAGGTTCCAGCTGAGAGGTTTGCGACACAGGAGCAAGACACAAGAGTCCAGGAGATCAAAAGGGGGAGGTTTTAATCTTGAGCTTCTGGGCAAAATTCTCTGGTCTGAGGGTGGGCCAGGGAAGTTCATGCCAAAATGGGGGCTTAGGTACTTCTTTTATACAGCTGTTTAGTGGGGGGAGGCCAGAGAGGTGTGGAATTTCTGTCTCGGGCCAGGGGTCTAGGAAGGCGCCAGTAATCTCTGTCACCATCTACCTTGCAGACGCATGCATCTGCTCTGGACTTCCCCCCTGCCTCTACCTAACAGGAATAAAGGCGGTTACCCAGATGCACTTCAATATGCGAGCATTTACGGTCTTTGCCACCTGTTCTCAACCTCTGCCTGGATGCCAAGGGCCTAGAACAGATGCAGCATCTGCATCCGGGCTCGGACACCCAGTCTACGTTCGTGGTGCTCGAGAGCAGATGCTATAAATATTTTTAATTGCTAAAAGGGTTATTAATTATAAAACCTTGAGAAGTGGACTAGAGTCGGAGTGACAGGGAATGAGTTGGAAACTGGCTGTTGAAGGAAGCCAGCTCCAGGCTTCTGCCTATCCCAGAAGCGTGCTGTCACGTGAACTGAGGACAAAGCGCCTCCTCTTGGCCTCTGCGAGTTCTCGGTCCGTTCCCCTCCCACTTAATTCTTGTCTGCTGCCCACACAGGGATGACCTGAACGTGGGCCAAGTGGGCCACAGAGCAGATGGTGCTGAGAGCGCCAATGGGAAGAGACGCAGATGAGACAGACTAGCAGTAAGGGCCATTTCTGCAGGAGGCGTGTGTTGAGGACCCAGTGAGCTGGGGATTGGGTGTGGGGCTGGAGAGGACTACGAGAGAATCTCACAAACCTAAGGACATCCACACGCAGAGAGTGAGATAGTCCACCCCATAGTGAGTGCCGGCAAAAGGCACGGGGATCAGGGCAATCGGAGAATATGTGCTCCACGGGGGAACACTCCTTTGTCAGACTCAGCACCCACCCTCAGACCTGTGACCCCAGAGCCTGCGTTAAGATGAAGATGTTGACATTTTATTTTTCTGCCTTTCTGCTTGGTTCAAGTGTTCATCTCCACTTTTCTGAGCTTTGAGGAGTCTTACTGGGCAAACAGCAAGGCAGGCTTTTCCCAGGAGGGGAGCCTCCTGCTTTTGTGTAGTGTGTTAGGTACTTCCCTTTCCATGTTTTGTCCCCTGGGATAAAAGAGTCTGCTCCGTCAACGGTGGTTCTCAGACACAGGTGTACGTCAGATCCTCGGGGCACTGGCTGCACCACTTCCCGAACCAGAATCTCCGGGGAGAGCCCAGGCCTTGCCCCTTGGGTGCTCAAATCCTCACCCAAGTCCTTACCCAAGGGCCACAAGTCAGGCGAGAGCAGAGGTAGGAGGTGGCTCAGAGTGAAGCCAGAGCTACCAGATGTGGAATTCTTCCCAGCTCCTCGCAATCACCCGCATCTGCTCACCTGTGCTGAGCTGTGCATCCAGTACCTCACACAGCAGCACGTTAACCCTGTGGCCTGTTTCCACTGGGTAGAGAGCATGGCTATGGGGAAGAGGCTCCAAACCTGACAGGTCTCGTTGGAAGAGGAAGAGAAGGGTCTTACGGCCCTGGGGAGGGGGATCCCCAAGGAGTGGAGCTGAGCATGGGAAGGGGAATGGGGTGTTCCCATGCTGAGGCTGGAGGGCGTGCACAAAGGTAGGTCTGCAGGAGAGTTTAAATAAGTTAAAATCTGACCATTCATTGGAGAGGGGTAAATCAGAAGATTGGGGAGCAAAGAAACCTACATCTGCATAAGAGGGAAGAGAGCCTGTCTCCATATATGACAGACCCACAGCCAACATGATACTCCATGGGCAAAAACGACAAGTGTCCCCCTTAAGACCGGGAACAAGACAGGGATATCCGCTTTCACCACTCTTATTCCACACAGCACTGGAAGTCCTAGCCACAGCAATCAGACAAGAAAAAGAAATAAAAGGCATCCAAATTGGAAAGGAAGAAGTAAAACTGTCATTATTTGCAGATGGAGTGATACTGTATATAGAGAACCCTAAATTTAGATCCTACCAAAAAAATAGTGGAATGGATAAATGACTTCAGGCAAGTAGCAGGGTACAAAAGAAATATTCAGAAATCAGTTGCATTTTTATATACCAATAATGAACTATCAGAAAGGGGAACTAAGAAAACAATTCCATTTATAATTGCATCAAAAAAATAAAACGGGGATAAATTTAACCAAGGATGTAAAGACCTGTACTCAGGAAAGTATAAGACACTGAAGAAAAACAGTATGGAGTTTCCTCAAAAATTAAATGTGGAACTGCTGTTTGATCCAGTGACCCCACTTCTAGGAATATACCCTAAGAGACTCAAAACACCCATCAGAAAGAATATATGTACCCCTATGTTTATAGCAGCACAATTTCCAACAGCTAAGATTTGGAAATAGCCCAAGTGCCCATCAGTAGATGAGTGAATAAAAATGCTGTAGTACATTGACACCATGGAATACTCTGCAGCAGTAAAAAAGAAGGATCTCTTATCCTTTGAGACAGGATGGAGGGACCTGGAGAGTATTTTGCTAAGTGAAATAAGCCAGTCAGAGAAACACAAGTATCACATGATCTCACTCATATGTAGAATTTAATGAACAAAATAAACTGATGAATAAAATAGGTCCAGAGACATAGAAGCACAGAACAGACTATGGACTCTCAGAGGAAAGGCAGAGGTGGATGGGAAGAGATCAATCAAAGACCTTGTATGTGTATATGCATAACCCTTGGTCTCAGACAATAGATGGGGGAAGGCCTAGGGCAGGGGGGGCGGGGTGGATTATAAGGGATCAGGGGGTAGAGGACGGAAGGGGACATACTCATATGTAATACTTTCAACAGTAAAGATTTAATTTATAAAATAAGACATTGGAAAAAAAGTTAAAGAAGATATAAATAAGTGGAAGCATATACTGTGTTCATAGATAGAAAGAATATCATTAAAATGTCAATACTACCCAAAGCAATCTATAGATTCAAGATACCAATGGCATATTTCACAGGACTAGATAAATATCCCCCGAATTTATATAGAACCACAAAAGATCCAGAACAGCCATAGCAATCTTGAGAAAGAAGAACAATGCTTGAGGAATCACTCTACCTGAGATCAAACTATACACTTCAAGGCCAATGATAATCAAAACTTCATGGTACTGGCACAAAAACAGATATGGATCAATGGAACAGAGTAGAAAGCCCAGAAATAAATCCAGGCCTTTAAGGACAATTAATATTTGACAACGGAGACAAAAACATACAATGGAGTAAAGATAGTCTATTCAATAAATGGTGCTGGGAAAATTGGACAGTTAAGTGCATGACCTTCTTACATAAGAATAAACCCAAAATAGATTAAAGACTCAAATGTTAGACTCAAAACCCTAAAAATCCTAGGAGAAAACAGGCAGTGAAATCGCAGACATTTGTCACAGGAATCTTTTTTTCTGTTCTATTGCTTTGACAAAGGAAACAGAAGGAAAAATAAACAAATGGGACTCCACCAGGCTAAAAAGTTTGGTGTATACATATGTGTGCCTGTGCACGTGTGCGTGCATAGACATCATCTCCAAATCCATCAGCCAGAGTTTTCCTCTGTCAGACTTGGTTGACGTGTCTGTGTGGTTACAGAGGCTGCTGGTGTGCCTGGAGGAGTCCATTTACATCCACAACATCAAAGACATGAAGCTGTTGAAGACCATCCTGGATGTTCCCGCAAACCCAACAGGTGAGCTCCCGAACGAGGGGCATGCCCGCACCTCTCACGTCCAGGTGCCCCTTTCACAGGCCATCTTTCCGCCTACCTTGAGGACCTGAAGCAGTTGTTTTGCTTTATAAGTTTTCATGGTGTTTACCCCGAGGCTGTGTTTTAATGGGGGCAGGTTCAAGTACATCAGGCTGTGCGCCCTACAAGAGGCTGTGGCCCTCACGGCCACCTCCCTTCCCCCCCCACCCCGAAACTCCTTTCATCTGGGCCCGTTCTCAGCAAATGTGTCAGGGCGTTTAAGGTCGACGCGTGGGAGATTCCATGCATCTGGTACTGGGAGGTGTTTACCCCTAATTATTTTCTGTGGTTTCTCAGCACAGAGTAGGCGTAATAATTAAGAGCAGGTTTTGACTTGGTGTGTCTACGTGACTAGGAGAGAGACAAACCGAACTGCAAAGAATATGTTCTGTTATATTACAGAGAAATCTCCACGTTGCACTACCCAAACTTCTCAGGATGGGATGCTGCCGAGTCAGTTTCCCAGTTTAAGTTTGTGAAGTGCAGTGTTCTAGCCTACTGAAAGGCCAGGGTCAGGTTGAACAACCACAGTGTGTCTTTTAAAATATATATATATATTTATTGATTTCAGAGAGGAAAGGAAAGGGAGAAAGAGAGATAGAAACATCAATGATGAGAGAGAATCATTGATGAGCTGCCTCCTGCACGCCCCACACTGGGGATCAAGCCTGCAACCCTGGCATGTGCCCTGAGTGGGAATCAAACCCTCTTGATTCATAGGTTGATGCTCAACCTCTGAGCCATGCTGGCCAGGCCACATTGTGTCTTATTACACCTATGAGAGGATGTCCAGTTGTTTTACAAATCCTGAAATTTATACTTATCCTCTCAACAACCACTCTAATAAAATGGAGATGATAATGATCCACACCTCCCCCCACTCCTTTTCATAGTGCCTGTACCGCTGACATTCTCACCAACAGGGCATGGGGCTTCCAAGCTGGTTGGATCCCAAGCATTCGAAGGAACTCACATGAAGCATTTGTGGGGGCCTTGGTTGTGTCTGCGAGGGTCAGCATACAGGACCCCGTGACTACAGGCAGGTGGGTCGGCACAGGTATAAGCCCAGAGCCCGGCTGTCAAACATGTGGGCTTGTGCCAGAATTACTCGGAGAGTTAACTGAGGGCAGGGAATGAGAACCATGGCACATCTGCCCCACATCACACGCGGCCTGCTAGGCTCACTCACTAGCCCAGCTCCAGCCCCAGCATCGCATGACATGACCACTCCCCACTCCAGAGCCATCGGCTGCCTCTGAACCCTCAGAACCACGACTGTAAAATCCTGAGGTCAGTGGCCTCCTTCATCCGCTCATTCTCTGATAGATTCTCTGAACAGCACCAAAGATGGAAACGCTGGCTCTGACCCATATAAACCCTTCATGTCCACAAGACAGACAGAAAACCGCATGTCTCATGGCTCGAACACACATTCTGCATGCACGCTGCCCACGTGAACCACGAATCAGTGGCACGAACCCGCGTCCTCCCACTGCTCTGCGCTCAGCATCTGTGTGGCAGTACATTTCCTCCCTCTTCATCTGTGTTTGTGTCATGCCGTTCCTGTTGTGTCAGAGATTGCAGGCTGCTTCCTCTAAAGAGGTAGGCCCGATGGGGCTCGAAGCTAATTTCCTGCCAGCACAGCAGTGCGCCAGGCTGTGGAGGGCAGACATCTCTGGACAGGTCTGCCAGCCACGGACTCAGCTGTGCTGCCGATCTCACAACCGTGTATGGGGTACCGAGGGGCAGTCCACACCCCCCCCATACTGTGTCTAACTGAGTCCCCTTTCTGGAAGTGGTGCTGCAGGCTGGAAGCTGGCTCTCATTTGCAGAAACAGCACATTTGCAAGCACAGATTCCTTTCCACGTCTGAAAACGGGAAGGCATGCTCTGGGCCACGCGTCAGCCCAGAGGGAGCTGCATGTCATCAATCACCATTAACTTGCTTGAAGTTGGACATGTCATGCCAGGCATCCCAGGACGCTGGTGGCTTAGAATCACAGGACGTCCCTGTCATCCAGCGGACGATGCCATTGGCTCTTGAAGTGAGAGCAGGCCCTTCTCTTCCAGCTGTGGAAGGATTACAGCCACACCGCTGTGGTGAAATCATAGCTGACAGTGATTTATGAAATCATGTGTCAAGTGTTAAACATCAGAACCTCGTTCCTATGGAAGGAAATGTGCTCACACATTGAGAACAGTGAAAACCCTCTGGGTTTTAGGATGATGGAAGATTACCTTTTCCTTCATATCTTCTGGCTCTGCAAATGGTTGATCGCTTTTCCGTTATAAAATACTACCAGAGGAAAGGCTCGTTTCCTTCCTTAAACGGCTTTGTGCGGCACCTGTGACAGGAACTAAAGACTTTGTGCTCTCCTTGGGGGCTTCCAAGCTGGTTGGATCCCAGGCAATCGAAGGAACTCGCGTGAAGCGTTTGTGGGGGCCTTGGTTGTGTCTGCGAGGGTCGGCGTACAGGACCCCGTGACTACAGGCAGGTGGGTCGGCACAGGTATAAGCCCAGAGCCCGGCTGTCAAACGTGGGCTTGTGCCAGCATGCCCCTGCCCTGGCTGCTCCCCTCTGCCCCTTTCTTGTTAGAATCTGGGGCCATGTCATTCTCCTCCAGGCAACACAGGAGGTACCATGTTAGCTGAAGACGCTGAAGCCTGTCTTCCTTCCTGAGATATTTGATTTGAACATGAAACTCTGAAGGGCACCTGTGGGAATGGCTCATTCAGAAAGACAAGAAGTAACCAGGGTGGCTGAGGACGTGGAGAAAGGGGAGCCCCGTGCCCTGTTGGTGAGAATGTCAGCGGTACAGGCACTATGAAAAGGAGTAGGGAGCTTCCTCAAACAGCTGAGCTGCCAAGTGTCCCAGCTGTCCCACTGCTGGGACTACAGCCTGAGCAAATGAAATCACCCCTATGTTCATCGCATCACTGATCCCAACAGTCAAGATCTGGAAACAACCTACGTGTCCAGCGACGGATGAGCTGGTAAAGAGAATGTGCTGTGTACGTGCAACGGAATCTGTTCAGCCATGAGAAGGATGAACTCTTAGCATTGCGACAACACGGATGGGCCGTGAGGGTATTATGCGAAGCGAAAGATGTCAGGCGGACAAAGACAAATATCGCAAAAACCGTACGATCTCTTATATGTGAATTTTTAAAAATGACTTTGTAGATACAAGAACGGATTAGTGGTTGCCAGAGGAGCGAAGTGAGGGGTGGGGGGCAAAATGGTTGAAGGGGGTCAATAGGTACACACTTCCCATTATAAAATATGTCCTGGGAATACGCAGCATGGCGACCACAGGGAAGAATGCCGTGTTGCACATTTGAAAGTTGCTAAGAGATAAGATCTTAAAAGTTTAGCAAGAAAAAAAAAATTGTAACTGTATGTTGACAGATATTAACTAGACTAGTGATTATTTTGCAATATATACAAATACTGAATCATTATTTTGGCAGACCTGGATCTTGAACTCATGTCCCCTGTCTGTGTGTGTCTGCCAGGTAGATATTCTTAAAACACTGCCTGTTTTTTTCCCTAACAGCTTATTGTGATATAATTGGCATGCCATATGACTCACCCATTTACAGTACATAATTCAATAGCTTTCAGTATATTCAAAGAGTTGTATGACCACCAGGGCAATCAACTTTAGAACATTTTATCCCCTCTCCCTCCCCCCCCCCCCGCAAAAAAAAACACACAAACAAACCAAAAAAAAAAAAAAAATGAAACCCATACCTCTTAGCCATCAGCCCCCATACCTCCAGGCCTAGGCAACCCTAATGTACATTCTGTCTCTAGATTTAGCTCTTCTGGACATGTTATAGTAGTGGAATGATACAATATGTGGTCTTTTGTGTCAGTCTTCTTTCTCTTAGCGTAGTATTTTCAGTGTTCATCCATATTGTAGTATCTATAATAATAAAAGCATTATATGCTAATTAGATTGGACGTCCTTCTGGACGAAGCCGGGGGCTGGGAGGGAAGCCAGTGCAAGCAGTCAGAGGAAGGAAGGCCTACTCTTGCACAAATTTCATGCATCAGGCCTCTATGTTAGTATTTCATATCTCTTTATTAATTAACTAGAGGCCCAGTGCACAGATTCATGCATCGGTGGGGTCCCTCAGCCTGGCCTGCACCCTCTCACAATCTGGGACCCCTTGGAAGATGTTGGATAGCCAGTTTCGGTCTGATCCTCGCAGGCCCAATCCAGAAAGGAGGGAGCTCAATCCTATGTGTTGAGCGTCTGTCCCCTGGTGGTCAATGTGTGTCACAGTTACTGGTTGACTGGTCATTCGGTCGACAGGTGACTTAAGCATATATATATATATATATATATATATATATATATATATATATATATAATAGATTATATTCCATTGTAAAAATATACCACATTTCATCTACTCATCAGTTGATAGACGTTTGGGCTGTTTCTACCTTTTGACTGTTACGAAGAATGTTACCGTGAACATTTATATCCAAGATTCTGTGTGGCTCTGTTTTCATTTCTCTTGGGGACATGTCCAGGAGTGGGGTTTTTGGTCAGATGGCAACTCGGTGTTTAGTCTTGTGAGGAACAGCCAGGCTGTCTCCCCAGCTCTGGCCCACATGACCTTCCCTGCAGCAGTGTGAGGGTTCCAATTATGTCTTTTTGATAATAGCCGTCCTGGTGGGTGTGAAGTGGTATCTCGGTGTGGTTCTGATTAACTCTGCTTTTTTTAAACACATGTACCCAGAAACCTTCAGAACATGCCGGACACATTCATCAGATCTGAACTCAAGTCCTTCTAGGGTTGCCACATCCGATCTTCTTCCTTTCTGCTAACCACCCCTCTGAGAACCCCCATGCAGACCAACCTGGTGTCCTGGTCTTCCCTCCCCCATTTCCTTCTGCTGGGCAGGCTGATCTTGAAATTGCATTTTGGTTTGCAAAGAACCCCAATGAGATGGGGAATTGGTTCCCAGAGCAGAACTGGGAAGGTCCGAGTGGTCCCTTGTCAGGCCTGGGCCAAGAGTGACTTTGTACCCGCCAGGAGGCTACAGGGAACCAGAGCAGGCAGGTCCTGTCTGCCATGCCGTTCCTCCCCTCACCAGGAGGTGGCGGTGTAGGCGAGCCATTTTCAGGGGCCCTTTTGCAGGTAAGTTCTCTCTGTGGACACGGGCTTTTTCATCTGCTGTTTTTTCTCTGCCAGGTCTGTGTGCCCTCTCTATCAACCATTCCAATTCTTACGTGGCTTATCCTGGAAGCCTGACCACAGGCGAGATTGTGCTTTATGACGGACACTCCCTGGTAAGTTGGCAGTGTCCAGGCTGACCCTGCCCACCTGCATGCTCTGCGGTCAGTGGCAGGTGATGAGCAGGCTCTGTCGCAGTGGGGTGAGGTGCAGAGGCAGAAGCAACGCTGGGGGAGTTTGTTCCAGCCACGGCGCTTGGGTGTGGAGAAAGTAGTGATATTTTCCCTTGAGCCATCCATCAACATAGCGGGGAGGCAGCGTGCCAGGCCAGGGCAGACAGCTGCAGCGCCAGGGGAACCAGCTGCCAGCTGGTGGCCCGCTGTGGGCGTGGCGGCGTCATGCTGCAGCGCGGCCCTAGCGCTTGCCGACTTCCTGCCCTCCGCTTGCCGCACTTCACAGAGCGGACAGCGCTGCAAGGGGAGCCCCCTAAAGACGCACGTGGGGAGGGCTCTCGGCTGCGCCATCACTGCACACCGGGCACCGTTGGGCGTCCGTCTTCCCGAGGGCGGGACAAGGGATGGAAACGCGTGTCCCTTGATGCAGAGTCTGGATGCACTGAACACGTGCACAGCTTCCACGTGAAAGGGCTGCTGGAAAGGGAGAAGGGTGACTGTCAACTGAGGGAGGGTGTCTCGGAGGGAAAGAGGACGCGGAGGGAGGGGAAATCCATCGTCCGTCCCTCTTTCCCGGCATCGATACCCCTTGTTCCTTTTCACCAACAGAAAACAGTCTGCACGATCGCGGCCCACGAGGGGACGCTGGCCGCCATCGCCTTCAACGCCGCGGGCTCCAAGCTGGCGAGCGCTTCTGAGAAAGTGAGTGCGCCAGCCTCTCCGCGGGGCTCTCCTCCCTCGGGGCTCGCTGGGTGGCGCCCTGGTGACACCAGAACCAACGGGCCTCTGGGCCCACTCAGAACTCGTCTCAGAAGAAGCCCAGCAGGCATAGGGTGGCACGCTGATGCCTCTGTTAATTCACTAGCCCAGAGGCCTGTGCTAGGCAGGAGGCAAGATACTTTGCATAAAAACTCAGTATCTTTACTGAGAAGCGGGTGTGTCCATCATGGATACAGACAGAGGCTGCCTCTCCTCAATGTGGCATAAACAGAAAGCTTTGCGAGTTAGCAGGAGGTTGAGCGCTTCCGACTGGAATAATCGGGGAGCGTGAGCAAGCTGAACGTTCAAATGCCACGGAGAACGGGTCTCTCGTGAGCGGCAGAGATGGACCATTCCAGGAAGCCAGAGCCATTTGAGCGCACACACACCGAGCCTTGGGCTGGAGTGGGAGGGAAAAGGGAGACAGACGTGCCCCGAGAATTGCTTATATGGCACATATGCAAACTGACAGCCCCCCCCCCCCAGCACTCTGTGCTTCCTCCCCGGGGACAGATGTTCAACACCAGTAAAAACACATCTCCTAAAGAGACGTGTGTGTGAGGAGCCATGGATGGCATGAAACGCCCACCTGCTTTCTTTTCCAGGGCACGGTCATCCGGGTGTTCTCCGTCCCCGAAGGGCAGAAGCTCTACGAGTTCCGGAGAGGAATGAAAAGGTGTGTGTGCACTGTGAGACCCACGTAAAGTGCCCACGGAGCGCTGCAGTGGGCGGCCGGCAGCCGTCTAGGGAGAGGCAGGAGGGGCGGCTCTGTGCCCGCCTCTCTGTGCCCCAGAGGGGGCAGAACTGTGCTCTCGCAGGCAGCTGACCCAGAGCCCCACTCACTGCTTAGGACACCTGAGCGCGAAGGGGCCGTTTTAACACGGGCTCAACCAGGGGAGTCCTTAGTGGGTGTCGATGTGTGGCTAGCAGAGGAGAAACGAGATCCAAAAGCAATTTCTGGTCCCATTCTGCGGACAGAGGAAGGGGTGATGGTCTGGGATCCCACTGGCCGTAGGGTTTGCAGCCAGCGGTGCAGAGGGCAGCTGGAAAACCTCCGTGGTGACCGGAAGGAGCAACCTGTTCCTTCCTGCCTGAGATCGTGACCCTGTAGGAACCTTTCCAACATCAATTCCTAACGAACGTCCAGACTCAGGGGACACGTGGTTCTCTTATGAAGCTGACTTTCTGGCTCACGGGTCCGCCTGCTGCTCTGTGTTCTAGGTACGTGACCATCAGCTCCCTGGCCTTCAGCATGGACTCGCAGTTCCTCTGCGCCTCCAGCAACACCGAGACGGTGCACATCTTCAAGCTGGAGCACCTCGCCAACAGGTAGGCTAGGCGCCAGGCGTCACACACTCATTAGGTGGGAGGATGGGGCCCCGAGTACCCTGTGCTGGCGGCCACGGACAGCACATGCGGTTCCCTCTCTCTCTGAAAGCCACAGCCTTGGCCTCCCTCGTCAGAGCGGCGAGGGTGTGTGAGCAAAGGCTCGGTGGTGTAACGCATGGAGGCCACGTCTAGGGACCCTCCAGCGGGGGCAGCCACTTAATCTTTCTGGACTCGGTACAGATTCGTCTACACACCTTAGGCTTGTTGTAAGGATTAATTGAGCGCCTAGACCTCAGGGATGGGAACTTCCTACCCGTGGGTCTTGTAAGGCTCCGCACCCGAAATCACTCGGTCTGGCCCAGCCCAGGCATCAGGGGTGAACTAATGGGATGTTTGACCAAGTACAGCAGGCTGATATTTTGCGTTGCTCTAACTCTAGTAATGCAGTCATTGCCGTTACCCGCCCCAGAGTGCCAGGCGAGCGCTGCCAGTGCCCTTGTGTGTGACTGGCAGGCGTGGGTGGGGTTGGCAATAGAGAGCATGTGTTAGATTGCAGTCGGGCCCTATTATTGCCATAACGAAGTACCACAAACGCAAAACAGCCAGCGGGCGTACCTCACGGTTCTGTAGGTCAGTCGGCAGGACGGCTGGGGGCTCCATCTGCTGGGGGCTCCGTTGGGGTCTCGGACATCCCCGTGGTGGCCAGCCGAGTTCACATCTGGAGCTGAAAGTCCTCCAGACTCACCCATGTTGCTTCCTCCTCGGGCTTTGGCTTCCCCCGGCTCCCCCTCTGCCCTCCTTCCCTGCCAGCACGCCGCTGAGAAAGCTCTGTGTGTTAAGGGCGCACGTGATTCGATTGAGCCCAGCTGGGTAACCTCCGTCGCTGCAGCCGGCTGGGCCTCTCACTGTCACTGGGCCTCTCAGCACCGTCAGGTCCCGGGGCCAAGGTCGGGGAGCCGGGACGGAGTCTTGGGGCCACCGCTAGGCGTTCTGCCTGCCATCGCGTGAGCGTGAATGCACAGGGCGAAGTGCTACGGGCAAGCCCGTGTCTCCTCCTGCGGAGTTCACACCCGAAAGCACCACAGCTGTGAGGCGTTCCCCGCCCAGCGCCGTGCGTGGCAGCGTGACCTTGCCCAGCCCACTTCCCAAGGTCAAGATCCCACTCAGTAGCAGTGTAGGTGGCTCGCACCTTCCTCGGGGGGGGATGGACACTCGGGTCTCCTGACACTTCTCTTAAGTGAAGGGACATTGAAACACGAAGGCTTGGTCATCAGCTCAGTCCCACTCAGAAAGCAGGTGGTGGAGTCGGCGGTAATGGCAGTACAGGCCGTAGCCTCTCTAGGAGCAGAGGAGGGAGAGGAGATAGAGTCCCTCCTCCTCTCGGTTCCCACTTCCTGCATTTGCACCTCGGGGATAACCACGGCCACCTCGCTGGGGACAGCTACGCAGGGGACGTAGGCATGGGGCCTCGCACAGCGCCCGTGCACAGCCCAGCTGTTTCGTTAGAGGGCGTCTCCGGGGCTGGTGTGACCAAGGCAGCTCTGGGATGGTGGCCTCTGGGAGTGAAGGTGCCTGAGGAGGGAGCGCCATGTCCCCAGGAGCGTGTCCATTGAGAAGACAGAGGATGGACTGGCCCGAGAGACTAGAGGGGACCGACCGCACAGAAAAGTCACAGATTGCACCAGGAGATGCACTTCCATTTGTAGAGCCCCTCACACCGTCCTCCCTGGGTCCCACCGCTTCCCTGCCAGGCAGCGGTCAGTAACCGCTGGTGTTTTCTTATCGTTCTCCTGGGCTGTTTTCTCCTCCGTAAAGGCAGGACCGGACACTAGAGCTCTCGGGAAATCGAAGGTGACCAGACGTCCTGCTTTTAGCAGGACAGTTCCAATTTTAAAAATTTGTTCTGCGTCCCACGGCGTTTTAGGAAAGTCCAAAAGATTTAAAAGAGTCTTTCCAAAAATTGGGACTTGTTTAAAACGCCAAGGGACGCAGGACAAATGTTAAAACTCGGAACTGTCCCGCCAAAAGGTGGATGTCTGGTCACCTTAGGTAAATCTCAGCCCTGAGCACAGGGCTCCAGGGACGACAGCAGTGCGCCCGGGAGGGCCAGCTTTCAGATGAGAACAGGGGGCCCAGAGGTCTGTCCAGAAACGGCCAGCCAGCCGGGAACAGAGTGAGAAACAGACCCCAGAGCTGTGTGTGTGTGTTTCCCGCCAGGATCTGGTCCCCCAGACCAGCACCTCGGAGCAGGCGTGGCCACCCTGGTCCCCGCTGCTCACTGTGCAGAGCCGGGGCTGCTCACTGTGCAGAGCAGGTGCCCGTGAGCCGTCCATGCTCACGTGTCTCAGCAACAGAGCGGTCACCGCTCTGGCCACTGCGGGGGGCGCACCAGATCCCTCCGAAGGATCTGCACCACACGGAATCCTGGTCCTGGGTGCTCCGGGCTCTGATCAAATACGGCCCAAGCGTCTTCCCCTGGGGGGTTTGCTTCCCACTCATCTGGCCCCCTGGCCACACACTGAGCCTGAGGGCAGGCTTGAGCCTGTTTACAGAGTCCAGTTAGCGATACAATCTCGCTCCCTCCCCTCACCCCCTTTCAGGAGCCTAGAAATCCGACCAATCACCAGACACCACGCTTTTAATGCAGGAAAGTTTAACACTGGGAACCTCTTAAGAGCTTTGTAATGGCCCTTCTGAGGGACAGGGCCACTTGCCCTGTCGGCACGGCCAGGACACAGTGTCCCCGGCTGCGCCGGGCGGGCAGGACATCACGCTGAGGTGGCTCCCTCCTCCCGCGGCGCCGTGAGGGCGGCTCCCGCGTGCGGGGGTGGGGGCCACCGCATGGGTGCCGGCGCCGGTGCCCGCAGCTCAGGCTCACGGCGCCTCTGCCTGTGCGTTGCTCCCCCAGCCGACCCGAGGAGCCTTCGACCTGGAGCGGCTACATGGGGAAGATGTTCATGGCAGCTTCCAACTACCTCCCCGCCCAGGTGTCAGACATGATGAACCAGGACAGGGCCTTCGCCACCGGGCGCCTGAATTTCTCCGGGCAGAAGAACCTCTGCACCCTCTCCACGTACGTACGTAGGGCAAGGCCCACTCCCAACCCCTCCACACATTCACGTCCCCAAAGCACCAACGCCCCAAACACACCCACAGGAAAAACAATAATAAAATACTAAAAAGGAAGAAGAAGGCCAAGAGGAAGGGCGAGCGAAACCAAACCCTCCCGCCGCACATCAGCTGCCTGGTCATAACACGTGTCCGCGGGCGGCAGCGGGAGGTGGCGAGGGGATTCATGGCGACACTGTCCCCGAGAGCAGCTTCTGTGTTCACATAATTATGTGCAAAGGCCCAGACACCTACGGGGTTGACATGTTTTACCCAAGAAGCTCAAAGGAGTTAAACATTTAAAAAAAAAAAATTTTCGTAACGCTAGCCAGCCACGATGCAAGCCAACTTCCCACTCATTTCCTTCCTGTCACCGCTAAAGGTAGAGACGCCGTCCCGTTCAGGTAAGCTCAGGTGTTTGTGTTTGTTTTTGGTAACAGCTCTTCCTGGAGCGATGGTGTGGACACACATCATTTTGTCTCCCCCCCCCAAACAGTTAGGTTCAAAGACAAGAGTTAACTCTCAAGGTAGATCACTAGGTCAGAATGCAAAGAAACAGCCAGGCACCCAGAACCCGGGCCCAGTGGGCTAAGGGTCTGTTGGTGGCAGAAGGCGGCGGCGGTCAGGGGGAGCGAGGCCTGGATGAGGCCTGGCTGTCGGAGGCCGGCCCGTGACCCGCCATTGTTGTTACCACAACACACGTTTTCTTTTGGCTCTTTAGGATCCAGAAGCTGCCGAGGCTGTTGGTCGCATCCTCCGACGGACACCTTTACATCTACAACCTGGACCCTCAGGACGGAGGGGAGTGTGTCCTGATCAAGACTCACAGGTGGGGTTGCTAGCTCTCAACCGGCCCCGCGTAGCGTCACCCCTGGGCCAGGAACAAGGGCGAGCTTGATCTCCCGTGCTCCTCCCTCCTTCACCGGCAATCCCGGCGCAAACCACCAGGGGGCGCCTGCTCCGAGTAGGGCTCAGTGTCAGGCTCACCATGCTGTGAGCTTCTGGGAAAGTGAATGAGAACACAGCCATCTCCCTCCTCGTGCGTGATGGGCGCTCAAAAACATTTCCCGAGTGGAACGGGAAAGTTCTCGTGACTTCCACCACCCAGTTCAGGAGGGCCCGTTCCCACAGTGGACAGGACAGGACAGGACAGGACGCTGAGCTGCCATCCCCCTCCCCCTGAAGCACTCCTTGCGAGCTCGTCTTTGAGTCCTGGCCTGAGTGACCCGGGCAAACCAAGCGCCAGTCCTCCCTTATTAACCGTGAAAAGGGGTCACTGTGAGCCGATGGCTGACCCTGGCCATCGAGGTCCCAGCAGCAGGGCTGAGGGGCTGGGGCTCGTGGCTGGGCGTGCGCTTCCTGGAGCTTCTCCTCGTGGAGGGCTCCTGGATGTGTGACGATCGCTCTTCTCCCTCTTAATGGCTGCCGTTAGGCTACTTGGCTCAGGAACCACGGAAGAGAATAAAGAAAATGACCTCAGACCTTCATTACCTCAGTCCTATGCAGCCACAGTGGCCATACCAAGCGCATCTTCCGCCTCCACGGTGCCAGGTGAGGCGTGGGGACCTGCTAGCGGGGCCCTCATCTCCCCTTCACGTTACTGCGTAGGGCACGCCCTCCCCACCACACAGAGGCCGTGGGAGGAGCCTCTGCAGGCAGCTCCCCAAAATCGACAGGCCCTGCACGGCTCCTTTCCCTAACGGGTTAACCCTCAGCCTCTGAGGACTGGCAAACCAGTGGGAAGGTTCAGGCGCCCGGGTGGGGGGTGGGTAGACCAGCCCGCCTGCCAGCCTCTCGGGGTCAGAGACCATTCACGGTGGGAGTTGAACTCCCCTGGCTCCCCAGGCCTCCCCACCTCCCCCACCCCGTTTTCTGAGGCCCTGCCCTGATCACGGCGCAGGAGGAGACCCCGTGGCTCCTCTCACGTCCCCTTCTTGGTTTCCAGGTTACTCTGAGGACGGCGGGGCGCTCCGCGGAGAGGTTATTCCCGAACACGAGTTTGCCACGGGACCAGTGTGTCTTGATGACGAGAATGAGTTCCCCCCTGTGAGCATTAGGAACCCTTAAGAGAGCCGCTCAGTCTGTGCGCTTCGAGGGCAGCCTTGGCCTGGGCAGGAGGCGCAGGCACTTCCCCCCTCGGCTAGTGTAGAGCTAACCCCCCCTCCCTCATGCCCAGAGGCCGAGTGAGTGCTGGTCGTGCTGGGCGCTGCCCACTCTGCAGGCCAGCCCGCAGGGGGCGCTCCACACGGACACTAACGCAGGGAGCCCGGTGGCCTCGCTCAATATCTCACGGCCCGAGTCCGTGGCTTGGCTCCTTAGCGCTGTCTTGGCTTCGGGGTGCACTCTGAGTTTCCTGAGGCTCCGGGGTCGCTTTCGCAGGACGCTGCGGTCTTCGGACTACAGGGGGCGATCTAACAGGGCTGGGCCGCTGTGCTCTGCGGGCGGGTGAGCCGACCCTCCCCTCCAGCCGCAGGGCAGACCCAGGATCAGCGGCAGCAGCTACAGTCCTTGTTCACTCACGGGCAGGGCCCCTGGCCCCCCTGCCCCCCCCCCCCCGCAGCTCCCCTGGGGTCCCAGCATCCTGCTCCCTCGGTCCTGGCAGCAAAGGCCACGGGCTGGCTGGGCGCTGGGCTTGGCTTCTCCCAGCGTCCCGGTGCGCACAGCAGGTCCTCTGCCTGGGTGCCCATGGCCACCTTCGCTTCTGACTCTTCCAGCTTCCATTTAAGGCAACATATAGACGCCTCTTGTGAGCTTCCGTCTGAGGACAGCCCAGAGAGTGGGCCCGAAGTCGGATAGAGATGGGAGCGGTGCTTGGGCCGAGACTTGGGGGTGGGGGATCCACTGAGTGAGTCGGAGGCAGAGCCCCAGCCACTGGGCACTGCTTCAGCGCCCCTCAGTCCTGGTGTGCAACGCTGCCTCCTGACCAGCACTTGCTGTCCGCGGAGATTCCGTGGGCAAAAGGATGGCCTGCGGGTCTGGCTTCTGCTTGCGTAGATCCATAGGGCAGCCTCGTAAGCACAGTCACTAAGAAAAGGGAGGGGGGGCTGGGCCCCCAGCGTATGGCTGGGGGGCTGTGTGAGGGCCCAGAGGTGGGCACTGCAGGGTGAGACTTACACGCTGGCTCAGTCTGCAGGCCCCCAGACACAGTGCCAACCAGGAAGGCTTATAGTCTAGGGGTGGAGAGCGACGGTTCTTAGAAATACTAATTTTTACCAATTCAAAAGCCTCTGCCGGCTGGCTGCCTCCCGTGTGCCAGGTGCCTTGCCTTTGGGTTCTCATGCCCCACCCCCCCGTAAAGGTGGTGTGGGTTTGTTTGTTTGTTTGTTTGTTTGTTTTCCCATTGCCCAAAAGTTGGTGGCTATCTACCCGAAGTTACATCTTCCGGGAACCAGAGCAAGTCAGACGCAGTCGGGCATAAAGGTGACGGGGGGAGGTCACGGTCTGCGACCTTTTTCCCCGGAGCAAAGCAAACCCAAGGAGATGGGAGGGAGCGTGCCCAGGGACCTGTCAGTTGTTCGAGTCTTCACTGTTACCAGGTTGTTCGAGTCTTCACTGTTACCAGGGTAGACCTTGCCACCCCTTATATTTACAGAACCGGGTACTTCAGATGCGGCACGCAGGTCAAACACCTGTGTGAAACAATAGGTTCACGGGTCCAGCATTTGTTTGGAGTGAACACAAAAACCACAGAGATGCTTAAGAGCCAGCCCAGAGGCCTGTCCCTGGGCACTGCCTCAGAGGGAAAAATGGTTTAAAGATGATGTCAGGCCCCCTGAGGGAGACCCCCACGTGAGGGTCAGATCAGCTGTCAGACACCAGCAAGCCTCGGGGGTGGGGAGGAGAGGGTCCTGCTCTTATAGAGACACTGACCTAGTAGCAGGCGGTTCCCCATCTCCCCGCACAAGGCCCAGAGACGCGAGCATCTACACGGCCCAGCCCGGTCATGCCTTTCCCACAATCCCGTGCAGCTGGAGAGCGCAGACGCCTGCCTCTCCCTGCCTCTATTCTATGCCTCTGATAGATGTTATCTGTCCAGAGTCCACACCTCGACCCACAGTCCTTAGAAACCCCCAGGACAGTGAGAGAACCCTGTCCCAGCTCGGGGGAAATCCCTTTGTAGGCAGGAGCGTGGGCTTGCCCGGGTGCCGTGAGGTCATCCCAAGCCGCCTTTCTAAAGAACGGACTGACAGGTCCCTGGGCACGCTCCCTCCCATCTCCTTGGGTTTGCTTTGCTCCGGGGAGAAATGGAAGAGGAGAGAGCGGATCGCCTCTGGTTCCTTAGAAAGACGCAGCCCCGCCTCAGGAGGGCGGCCGACCTTGGTTTCGGTAACCAGCCAGCCTTACGGTCTGCCTGCTTCCCCGCACGAGGCTTCCTCTGGTGGGCACGAGGGAGGGGCCGGGACCCAGCGCTGACTGACGTTTTCAACAGTGATGTAGCAGCCTGTGTTTACAAGAGGAGCCTTTAAAAAAAAAAAAAAAAAAAAAAACCCGCAGACACACATCAATACGCTTGCAAGTATTTTCCCTGCAGTCAGTATGTTCTGAAACGGTGCCACCCTCGCCCTCGCCCGGGCGACTGCCCGCGGCCCATGTGCCAGTCTCCCCTGCCCACCCCGCAGGCACAGACCTGCCCTGACGCAGCCTGCTCCACCGCCTCTTCCCGGGGAGAGTAAGGCCGTTCTGTTTTGATTCCGGTAGATAATCTTGTGCCGCGGAAGTCAGAAGGGCAAAGCGAAGCAGTCATGATGAGACGCGCGCCTCAGAAATCAGGACACCCCCCTGTCAGGTGGTTCTGGAGGAAACGAGGAAGGTGGAAGAATGGCGTGCGGTTGTGGGCGCGGAATGGGGGGCAGGCATCCCAGGTGCCGCCTGCTTAAGCCACAGGACGTGGCGCACTGCCCACCAAGCCCCCCTCGGCCCCGGCGGCTGCCCGTGGGTTCGGGAGACATGGTATATGCAACCTGCTATTGAAACTATATCGCAGCCCTGATGTCAACGCTAACTAACCATATTGGTCTGTAGCCGGAATTTTGTATTAAAAGGGGCATCCCTTTTCAGTGTATGCTGTGTAAAAATGTACCTATAGGAAAATGTCTTCGAATTGTACTTCTGTATGTTACATACATAGAGACTATTTTAACCAGGCGAAGTATTTTTTTTTTTTTTTTTTTTTTTTTTTTTTTTGGCAGTGATTGGAATAAATCACGTACTACCTTTGAGTCCCATTTAGGACACTAACAATAAAATCATGGCAATGCGTTTTTAAGGCTCCGAACATTTATTTCTTCATGGTTTTAGGAAGCAGGAAGAACTCCTCAAGTCTTTACAATCTAGCCATTTGACCTTTAAAAGGGGTCAGGGGTGGCAGGCCGGGCTCTTCTGCTTGGAGACCTGGAGTCTCTGACTGTCTAGTCAGTACCCATGCCACCCAAGCACCCCCAGGGGTGGCCTGGCGATGGAGGTGCTCAGGCCCCAACCCAGACTCCCAGGTCAGAATCGGTAGTCTCACAAGCTCCCGGTGAGATTCGTATGCGAGTTAAAGATGGAGAAGCATTGCCTAGATACCAGTTGGCAGAAATCTCTATGAAAGTGACCAGTGAAACAGAATGCATTAAAAAAAAAAAAAAAAAAAAGACTAAAACGGATTAAGTGCCTGCCTCACGTGCCAGGTAATATATGTCCGGCACTTCTATGGGCTGCCTAACCGAATCCTCAACATCAGCTTGCAAGGTAGGGGAAGTCAGGCCCAAGTTCAAACGCCGGGCCTTGACCCTGGGCTGCCTCTGAGCCCGGGGGGGTCCCCGTTAGAGCTCTTGGCAGCTGATCTCCCAAGCCGGCATGCGGACAGGACAGTGGGGGATGCAAGGCAGTGGCTTCCCGCCCAAATCCAGAGACTTGTAATGCGTACATCAGTAGAAAGAGGGTGGGTGTGCACTTGCCGTCTCATTTCCTGACGCTCCTGCTCGTGGGAGCACGGTCCGGGAGGCGGAATGGCAGCGGCAGGCAGGCTGGTGGGGGTCACAGCAGGGAGCGGCCGCGGGGTCCTGGGTGTAGTCTGCTCTGGAGACGTTGTCCCCAGCGATGTCGTGCAGGATGCCGGCAAGAGCCTCGCTGACTCGGGGCAGCACGCCCTGGTACTCGGCACTGCCTGGGTCCAGAGGCACGGCTTCTGCAACATCCTCTTCTAGGTTGAAAATAAGGGGGGGCTCGTGGTACCGTGCAGGCCCCACGCTCCCATCGCAGGCTCTGGCTCCGCCTACAGAGAGGGTAACAATAGGGCCCCGTCAATCCCAATTCTGCCCGTGTGGCAAGAGGGAGACCCGGGACTGACCGTCAATGAGCTCAAACACACCAGCACGTGACTTTTAAAATGACTGCCCTTCCTGTCCAAGAAATGACCGTGAGCATCTGCGTGCTCGTCTCACAAAGCTCCTGCTCTCTGGAATGATCTGGAACTTCTCCTTGGACTTGCCTTCAGAGCCAGTAGGACATGCGTACAAATGTCTTTCATCTCTGCCCTCTGGGAGTAAAATCTGTTTTTAAATGGATTTCTTGGATAGCAAATATATTCAATTATAAGCCTCGGGCAGGCAGACGCGGTGACTCATGCCACCCGGGGCAGAAGTTGAGATTGCTGTATGCATTAGGCTGGCTGAGAAGGCAGTCCCGAAGAGGAGGGACAGGTGCTTGGGATGAAGGCAGCATCCTTGGTCGTTAATGATTCAGATGACTTACTTTCTTTGCCTTTTCCATGCAAATAAGTAGTTAAGATATCTGACAAAAGTGAATATGATATAATTGAATGAACAAAAGGAATGAAGGCCAAGGACGGCCCTCGGAGACACGGGAGTTCGTTCCTGAAGACCTCCTTCAACTCAGAGCCCCTCAGCGGCCAAGCACGACTAAGTCAGAAACTGGAATCAGCTGCCCCGGGGAAGCAGAGCTGCTTCTGGCACTGACGTGTGAGAGAGCTTTTTCCAACGGCTCTGCACACATGCTTATGGGAAACCCAGCTGTGTGGTTAGGAGGGCCCAGCTGACGGCCTCTTCTCACCCCCTGTATTACCAAAGTGGGAATGTAACACCGAAGCGCCAGTCGGTGAAGACAGACCCCAGGGGCCAGGGCCAGGCTACAGCACACGGCTTTCGTTCTAGCCCCATGTGGCGAGGGCTGACCTCTGAAATCTCCGAGGGACACAATGAGTCGGTGCTGTGGTCTTTAGGGAACCAACCTCAATGGCTCTCCTCCTGTGACTCAGATTCAGGTTGTTCAGCTGACAAAGAGAGTCACTGCCTTTGCCTGGAGTTTGGGGTTGAAACAATAATAAAGAGTGGTCATGTGGTGTTTGGCCATCAGTCAAGTCTTCACTGGGGTAGGCTCCTCTTATGAGAATGAAAGACTTCTGCTGGAGCCAGTTTGGCTTAGTGGGTAGAGTATCAGCCCAAGAACTGAAGGGTTCCAGGTTCAAGGACACCTACATTGATTGCAGGCTTAGAAGTGGGACCACCCTCAATAACCATTGGGTGAGGTTCAAAATGGGTCACACCTCTCCACAACCATTGGGTGAGGTTGGAAGTTGGTCCCACCCCTCAACAATCATTGGTTGCGGTTGGATGTGGGTCCTGGCTATCAATAACCATAGGATGAGGGTGGAAGTAGGTCCCACCCTCGAACCCAATTGGTTGAGGTTGGAAGTGAGTCCTGCCCCTCAACAACCATTGGGTGAGGCTGGAAGTACATCACGCCCCTCAACTACCATTGGGTGAGATTGGAAGTGGGTCACGCCCCTCAACAAACATTGGGTGAGGTTCAAAGTAAGTCCCATCCCTCAACAAACATCGGATGAAATAGGAAGTGGGTCCTGCCCCTCGACTACCATTGGGTAAGGTTGGCAGTGGGACCTGCCACTCAACAACCATTGGGTGAGGTTCAAAGTGAGTCCCACCCCTAAACAACCATTGGGTGAGGGTGGAAGTAGGTCCACAAGGCAGGACACAAATTAATTACAGAAACACAGATCTCTCTGAACAACCCCCACCTTTAGGCCCAGTCCTTTGGACCGGTCCCGCCTCCTCCTCACTGCTCATGCCCAATCTATCCTCAAGGACTTCCCACCCCCTCCGCCTTGCTCCCATTACCAGTGCTCAGACTGTGGGATGGAAACTGTAGCAGGTGTACAGTGAAGATCCCAGCAGACAGGATCCTGGCCACCAAGGCCAACATCAACAGGCATCAATTGTGTTAGTATCACGTGCCCTGACTCTGTGCAATGAGCATGCTCCACACATGTGGTGCTCTTCCCTAAACCCCAGTCGATTATGAGGAAAACATCAGAGAATCCAAAAGGCACCCTTCAAAACACTGGACCAGCCCGGTGCAGCCAGACACGGCCCAGGGTGGCCCTGAGAAGGGGCGGCTGAAAAGCTTGGAAAAGACAGACAAGAGAATGAAAGCTGGGTCTTGGTGGGATGCTGCTTCCTGAGAGACAGTGCCCAAGCCCACAAGCAGAGTCCTTAGTTTGTAGCAGGTGCCACGAGGCAAAGTAAGGACTTGGTCAAGATGTTTACAGCATTCTCAAGGGTTTGAATCCTACTCCATTACATGCACCTGACCAAACTCTGTTTACTTGCAGCGTATATCACTCAGGAACGTGGGGTCACGTGTTCAGACCGTAGGTTCAAGCTTACAACTCTAGCTGTTGGATTTAATTGTGCTGGGAGCCTCTGCCTTCCAAGCTGGGACATGCACATGGCCAAGAGAGGACTGGGCCCTCTCATGAGTCCCAGCCTTGAACCTGTCCAAATGCTGCAGCCCCTCTCCACACAGCACCCTCTAAGCTCTTCAAGGTCATTAAAAACAAGGACGACTGAGAGACACTGCAGAGACGGGGCTAAACGCAGTGTGGGGTTATGGGTAGATCCTCCAACAGAAAAAAGTCTATTAGTGAAAGACTAGGGAAACACAAGTCTATAGTCCAGTTCAAGGAGGGCACCAGCATTCACTTGTTAGCTGTGTAGGTGCCGTAGTTTTGGGAGCTGTGAACAATAGGAAAGACTAGCTATGCAGACCTGTTCACAGGAACCCTGTATTCACTATGCAATTGTGGGGAGAAATCTAGAATTATTCCAAAATAAAATTTTTTATTTTTAAAAATGTAATTAACAGCTCTGGCCAATTATGTTCAGTGGTAAGAGCATCAGCCCAAAGACTGGTTTGTGGGTCCAACCCCTCAACAACCATTGGGTGATTTGTAAGTGGGTCCCACCCCTCCACTACCATTGGGTGAGGTTGGGAGTGGGTCCTGCCCCTCACCAACCATTTGGGTGATGTTGGAAGTGGGACCCACACCTCAACAGCCATTGGGTGAGGTTGAAAGTTGGTCACGCCCCTCAACTACCATTGGGTGAGGTTGGAAGTGGGTCCAGTCCCTCAACAGCCATTGGGTGATGTTGCAAGTGGGTACCACCCTAACCCTGCTGGGATTTGGTGACTCCTCAGCACATAAGTCCCCCAGGGGTTAGGATTCCTGTCTGACGGGGGTCACTTTTAACAGCCCTGGGACTTCCCGGTCAAAGTGTGACTCCAACTCTGCGGTGCCGAGAGCCTTCTGGCAGGGCGCTCCCTTCGGAAATGAACTCGGCCTGGGGGCGCCGTGCCTCTGAGATAATGTAATGTAAGGACTGTAATCTGGACGCGTTCCATCCGAGAGCGTCACAGCCATCGACTGGTTTGCGTTTCAGGGTTTGGAGGATCAAAGGCGGCTGTGGCGTTTTTAATGTCCTCCAAGCGATGAGCTCATAGAACTTGTTTTCACGCCACGCTCTCTCCGGGGTCACTTATCGACACTCCGGGAAAATCAGTTTTGTTCTGTTTTCTATAATTCTTTGGAAAGTTCCAACATGATTCACTTAATCAAATTGGAATCTGCAGCAGTTAGGGTTTTTGTTTTTTGTTTTGCTTTTCATTCATTAAAAAAAAAAGAAAAGAAAAAGTTAATGTTCCTTCTAGATGCAAGACTCTGTCCACGCGCATCAAGATAATAAAGATGAAAGGGCTACGGAGCTCTGGGCTCAGAGAGCTTGAAACGAGTCATGGGAGCCTGGCTGGTCTGGTTCAGGGGTTGAGCAGTGACCAGGAGGTTACCAGCTGGATTCCCAGTCAGAGCACATGCCTGGGCTGTGGGCTCGATTCCCAGAAGGAGGCCTGCAAGAAGGAGGCAGCCTAGGGATGTTTCTCCCTTATTGATGTTTCTCTCTCTCCCCCTCTCCCTTCCTCTCTCTGAAAAAACAAAACAAACAACTAGCAAGGGAAATAAAGCACGCACTTAAATGACTGGCATGTGGGTGAGAAAAAAGAGAAAAGAGAGAATGTATAAAGTGGAGCCACTTGAACCAAGCTGCTAAAATTAACAGTATGAAGGCAGAGGTGTGAAGGACAGATATGTTCTTGTTTCAAGGAGCCCGGGCACTGGGACGTTTTGAACTTTCCAGTCCTGCCTCAAAGCCTGGCTGTGCGTCTCCACCGGACATCTGACTGACAGCGGTCTTGGACGAATCCTCAGGACGCAGGACTGAGCCTTCTCATGAATGTGCTTTTCACTATAAGAATCCTTAACTTTTCTTTCTTCTTTGGAACACGCTGGGTGTTTGCTTAGCTGTGTCCCCAGTTTGCAAACTCTGAGACCCTTACGTGAGTAAATCTTTACCACTTATTTCTAACAAAGCCTGCGGTCTCTCTCTGAGTCTGTTTGAGAATGGGACAAACATCAGATTTCTCCAGACCCTACACTTCTGGGAAGATGAAAGTTTCATGTTTTGTTGATTTCAGAGAGGAAGAGAGAGGTCTCTCTTCTTCAGCTGCCTCCTGCACACCCCACACCAGGGATGGAGCCCGCAATCGGGCGTGTGCTCTGACCAGGAATCAAACCGTGACTTCCTGGTTCGTACGTTGACACTAAGCCACTGAGCCCTGCATGCAGCTGGGGCGAGAGGGAGTTTTATGATTCGGTTTGAGGCCTTAAAAGTTGAATTGAATATGGAGGCTGCGGCCGTGGCCCTTGGAGATGACAGGAAGGGAGAGGGACCCAGGAGGCTGGGGTCTGAATGCAATGGCAGCGAGAAGCCCTGGGAGGTGCTGAGAAGCATCCTAATCCAGTATCGAGTTTCTGATCACCCATTAAAGATGGCCACCCAGACTCCCGTCGGTTTGCTAAACCGACCTCCAAACTCTGTTTTCTGAAAGTCTCTCGTCAAGTGAATCACACTGTCAAGCATCTCTGAGCTTCTCCTTAATGTTCACCCCAATGGGCATCTAAATCACAAGTGTCACGTGGGAAACGGAACCGAAAGAACCACAGGCCGAGGTGGAGTCCCTGGTGCGAAGCCGCATCACCAATCCCAGACTCTCACCTCGCTCTCGGCAGGTGCAGCCTCTCCCGGGAGTGGGATCTTACACCCATCCGTCCGAAGGTCTCATCAGTCCTGGTGAGGTGATCTGCAGGATAACCCCACCCCCACCTCGCCCCGCTATTCCTTCCCTCCCCCAAAAGACCACTGTCCTAAAAGGAATCCTTTCCTTTTTCTAATAAAACGCCCCGGCCACACCCTTCTGCTATACAACCTTCCCTTCTGTACCCCGCACGGCCCCCTCGCCAGAGCGCCCTTCTATTTGTTAGATGGGCTGCTGCCCAGTTCACGAATCGCTTAATACAGCCAATTCGCTCTCCAGGTGCACTCGGGGGTATTCTGTCAACAAACGAAACGGCCTTCAGGTGAAAAGCACCGCGCACCGTCCAAACACTCTGAGCGTGCTGGACGTGTAGTAACAGCAGAAAGACCTGTTCGCTGCGTGTGGTGGGTGCAGAGCACCTGTGCTGGGCCCCTGGGTGCTGGGCCCCTGGGCGCTGGGCCCCTGGGTGCTGGGCCCCTGGGTGCTGGCCCCAGGCTTTGGATGGAAGGGCTGGGAGGAGGGGGTGGAAGCGCTTCCCAAGGAGGACCACCCACACTCACTCCTGCAGGCCTGGGTGAGAGTCCCCACCGGGCCGCCCTCCAGGCCTGCGGCACCTCCCGAACTCACCGGTGACGTAGAAGGCCTTGTAGCGCTCCAGGCGGACGGCCTGCAGGGCTCCGTACTCTCCCGCCGCCCCGCTGTTGGGGTGAAACAGCGCCTGCGGAAGGGGGCGGGGCTCACTCACAAGGACATCCGGGCTCTCTCTTCTCGTCCCCCCAACCCCGCATCGAGGTGTGTTCGTCTGCGCCACGCCTCCCTGCTTCGGGTCTTATTTTGTGGGTTGACTCATTTTGTTCATTGGGTTCCACAAATAAGTGAGATCGTGTGGTACTTGTCTTTCTCAGTCTCTGCCTCTATGCATGGCCCACAGACATGGGCAACAGAGTGTGAAGACCTGGGGCGGGGGGGAGGAGGCGGGATAAAAGGGGAGGGGAAATGGGAGATACCTGTAATATAAGATGACCAGACATCCCGATTTAAAATATATATATATATATATTATTGATTTTTTTACAGAGAGGAAGAGAGAGGGATAGAGAGTTAGAAACATCAATGAGAGAGAAACATTGATCAGCTGCCTCTTGCACACCCCCTACTGGGGATGTGCCCACAACCAAGGGATATGCTCCCGACCGGAATCGAACCTGGAACCTTTCAGTTCACAGGCCGACGCTCTATCCACTGAGCCAAACCGGTTTCGGCAGACATCCCGATTTTTAACAATTTGTCCCGCATCCCGAGGCGTTTTAAAAAAGTCCCGATTTTTAAAACGCCTCGGGACGCGGGACAAATTGTTAAAAACTGGGACTGTCCCACCAAAAGCGGGACGTCTGGTCACCTTACTGTAATACTATCAACAATAAAAATATATATTTAGAAAGAAAAGCAAGGAAACCAGGCTAGAGGCTCCCTGGGAAGCTAGAGGGTCCCTCTCCCCCCCAACACAGACTCCTCTCAACCCCCTGACCCCCTGCTCCCCCCCCCTGCCCCGCCCCTGCCCCAAACGCTGACAGACACAGGCCCGAAGTCCACACCAGCCCCATCCTGGGTGAGAATGATCGGAGTGGGTCACAGCCCGGCCAGACCCACAAACCCAGCACCAGCTGCAGGATCCCCAGCTCCGTGAACCCGGAAGGAACCTTGTCCCAAACCCGAGAATCTCATGACGACCACAGCAAGGGCACTCTGAGCCCAGCGCAGGCCCACAGCTCTGCCCCGCCCGCTCTGCCCGCCGGCTGCCCACGGGCCTGGGATCCTGCCCGCATCACCGGGACGCCCGGGGCCTCTGGCACAGGTGACCCTCCGGTTTCTCCAGCAGCCGGGCCATCTTCTCACCGTCACCTGAGCCCAGGGAGGCCCCGGGAGGCCCCTTGCGAGACCCTCTCAGTGATCCCTCCAGGAATGGTGCCCCTGCCCTCTGAACGGGGCCTCAATCCTGCTCCCCCGGGGCCGATCTCCTCCCTCCTCTGCAGGTCCCCGCTGAACGAAGCCCTACGGCCTGGAGACACCTACGTCGGGGACCCCCAGGGCAAAATGGGCAAGAAACCAGTGGTAAGGCCGGTGGGTTTGGGCTGGACGCAAGAGGCCGCCCTGGTATGAATCATGAGCGATATACATCACCGGGAAGGCGCTTCTGTGATTCAAAGTTTCCATGGGGAAGGAAAAAAAAAATCAGAACCATCTGTGTTGCCGTAAACAGCTGTGCCCCCAGCCTCCCGCCCCGTGGGATGTCGCGGGGGCCCCTCCCACACCTGCCTCTCCCAGGCCGGCTCTCGTGACAGCTCGGCGGCTCCCCGGGCAGCGTGATGACAGCGGCTCCTTCCAAACAGGAAGAGAGGCTGTAACTCAAAACCCTGGCAGCTTCAGGCTCACGGGAAGCCAAGCCCCTCGCCACAGGGGCAGCAGGAAGCGGGAGGCCTGGAAAGCCTTCTGTCGACGGATGGGTGATGCGCTCCCACATCCAGGAGACGGGGGGGCCGGCCTGCTGGTTCCAATCACGGGCGGGCGGGCGGGCGGGCGGGCGGGCGCTGCGTCCTGGTCGCAGATGCCACCGTGAGGGCCGGGATGTTTGTGCGACGTTACCAGAGGCAACCTCCACACCCCAGAGGATGCTGATGGGGAGGACACTCTCTCTCAGAAGCCTGGCTGCGTTTCAGAGAACTTGTCTGTGCCTCTCCCCTGCCCCCTTGGAGCTGACTGATTGTATCCTTGTTTCTATCAACACGGGAAGGCGGTTGGCAAACCGACCCATGAATCACAGCTGAGGGAAGACATTTTCCCCTAGGAGGGCGCGCGGTCCAAACGTCGTTGAAGACAAGACCACCTCCCGGAAGCACGCTGCCCCTCCGAGGCTGCCTTCCCCACCTGCGGGCTCCGCCCCGTTCTGCTTTGTGTCTACGCACGCGAGCACTGCCTGGATGGGTGAGTGCAAAGTGGGGGCTGGGTGCCAGGCTGTGCCCCTTCCCCTGCCTGGCTCTCCTCCGTCTCCCTCCTTGGGGTTGCCCTCTCTGCCAAGACACAGACAGACGCATCAAGACCGGAAGCAGGAGGCTCAGAAGAGCCAGAGTGCCTTTGGGTATGAGCATCGCGTCACAGGGCCCCGGCCGCCCGTGAGAAGACCATTCAGTGGGAAACCCCATCGCCCGTGACCTGCCTTCCCACCTCTCCGCAGAGGACCCGGAGCGGGTGCCAGAGAGCCAGGGGCTCTGGGTCACTTTGTTTGTAGAACAGGGAAGAACCGCTGCTGAGCTATGTGTGCACATGGCACTGAGATGATCAGGGGTTCCTTTGAGCTTCCTGAAACCAGGATGGTTTTCTTCCAAATCGACCCCTATTAGGATCGTTGTAAGCCCGAGATTTATAAGCACCTATCGGTGGGCACAATCAAGGGGTGCTTATTTTATTTTATTATTATTATTTTAAATATATTTTTTATTGATTTTTTTTACAGAGAGGAAGGGAGAGGGATAGAGAGCTAGAAACGTCGATGAGAGAGAAACAACGACCAGCTGCCTCCTGCACAACCCCCACCGGGGATGTGCCTGCAACCAATGTACATGCCCTTGACCGGAATCGAACCTGGGACCTTTCAGTCCGCAGACCGACACTCTACCACTGAGCCAAACCGGCTTATTTTAAAACACATATGACACGCATGTACACATACATGCACAATGTATAACTATATAATCATAGTTTTACCCCCTGGCCTCCCTTCAGCAAGTTAGAGATGTTTAATGCAATGTCTTTAGTCGCTGACCAGAGAACTCCAAGGCCAAATTCGAGCCAGGGCCAATCACGCCCTATGTGGCTCTCCATGAAGGTCCTCACGAATGTGGCCGAGACCTGGTGCCCCAAGAGGCGGGGTGGCCACAGGTGTGGCTCATGCTGGCAAGCAGCACCTGGCGGGGGTTCCCAGGCCCCGGGGTGTGGTCAGGGAGCAGCTCCGCCCGCCTGAGCTGCCTGGCCACACGGATGGTCGTTCGCTGAGCCCTGAGGGGGCCTCCTGAGCCTGAGGACGTGAGGAAAGGGCGAGCGTCCTTCCCTCTGGGCACGGAGTGAGCGCCAAGGAGCTGGCTCCACAGGCCCCGGCCACATCAAGGAGACCACAGTCCCTGACGCGCTTCCTGGTGACTCCGATGATTCCGTCAGTTGCCATGGTGACGCACACTCGGGAGCATCTCCCTGACGTCCTGAATCGGCCCCCAGGGCCACGTAGTGCGACTCCCACCTTCCTGCCTCTCGTGGCGCAGCCTGGGAGCGCCAGCTGCTCCAGAGGGTGGGGTGTTCCGGAGAGAAGCATTTCTCCGGGGGCCTGGGGTGCGGGGCGGGGAGAGTACGTGCCGGGCATCGGGCATCCTCTGACAAACCCCAGGCACAAAGGAGTGCTCCCAGAAGCCCGGCGTGGGGCTTGCTGGGGCCGGCCGCGGGGAAGGACAGCGCCCTGGAGCGGCGTGTGAGCCACTTCCACGCGGCCCTCGGTAAAGACAGAAATAGGAACGGACGCCTGGATGTGCGGCCTCTAACTGAGACGCCCCGTGCTCACAGGGCCTTGCAAAGAGGGTTCCGGCCCCTCCCGCCACCCCCCTCCTCCCACTTCCTCTTCCCCTTTGGGCAAAAGGAAGACGGGGAAATGACCGGGACAGGCCATCAGGCCCAGCATTTCCTGGTGGCGCCTCAGAGCACCTGGGGAGAGGACACCAGGCCCTGGCTGGTGTGGCTCAGTGGATAGAGCGCCAGCCTGCGGACTGAAGGGTCCCAGGTGCGATTCCGGTCAAGGGCACATGCCCAGGTTGCAGGCTCCACCCCCAATAGCGGGCATACAGGAGGCAGCCGATGGGTGACTCTCTCTCATCATTGATGTTTCTATCTTTCCCTCCCTCTCCCTTCCTCGCTGAAATCAATAAACAGAGAGAGAGAACGAACACGGGGCGCTGGGGCGCACTGCCCCGAGCTAGTGTGGGGGCTGCAGGCCTCATACTGGGCCTCCGGGAGCTGGGGTCCGTCCCTGCCATGCAACGTGCGCCCACCTCGGCCAAACAGTTAGACTCAAATTCCATGGGCATTCCGGCTGATCACAGGAAAGAGGAGGAAGGGAGAGGAGGGAGAGGTTCATCTCAGAGGAGTCGCCCTCAGGGCTCCTCAAACTGCATCTGGAGTGGCCCGCCGCTGGCCCGCCTCCGCCGAGGGGGCTCTGTTTGCACCACGGGGAACAGCTCCACCCCGAGGAGCCGGGCGGGGCACCTGGCTCCGTCACTTACCCTGTGCCCGGTCTGCGACCCGCCGAAGAGCACCTCGGAGGCGTCCAGCCCGTCAAAGTGGCGACCTGGGGGCAGGCGGGCGCCGGCCAGGGCCACCACGGTGGGGAAGATGTCCAGCACGCTGCGGGAGGATCAGACGGACACCTTGGCCCCGGCTGGCCCCAGACGCTCGGCCATGCCGTGGTCAAGACCCACCGCACAGCCCGAGCCCGGCACCGGCGGCCTCCCGAGTGGCCCGCCCCCCGCGCCTGTGCTTCCCTCACGCCCCGCCCGGGTCTCTGCTCCCCCAGGCGGCCGACCGGCCCAGGGGCTCAGCACCCAGCGCTGCCCCCTGTGCAGCTCCGGGGCCTTCGGCTTTCTGTTCTGTGAAATGGGCACGATGGCCTGGCAGGCATGGCTCAGTTGGTTGAGCGTTGTCCCTTGCACTGGAAGGTCACCAGCTCCAATCCGGGCCGGGGCACGTGCCCCGGTTTCTTGCCCGATGCCCGCCCTCTGAGCAGTGATGCCACAGGGGTAAGCACCCCGGGCGGGGGCGGGGCGTGTTAGTGTCCTTCTCCTGAGCGAACCCTGGGGACAAGCAGCCGGCCAATCCCGGCAGCCAGGGTGCTCCCCGAGAGTGTGCGCGGATCCCCGTGGGAAAACACGAGGGTGGAGTCCATGGAGACACGCCGTCCTGCTACCGTCGGACGGTCTAACGCCAAACGCTATCCTGCGAGGCGCAGCTCGCGTCCCCCGTGCTGTCCCGGGAAAAGTTCCCGGCGCCCTCGGCAAGCGTCACCTGTACCGGCAGCCCCCGAGCTGCCCCCTAAGCCACTATCGCCTCTGTGGCCCGAGATGGCCGACAAGCTGATGCGATTCCGTCACCACCAGCGCCGGGTGGATCCAGGTGGAAACACCGCTCTCGGGAGAAGCCCTGCAGCCTCGGTGATGTAGCTGCAGCCGGTCGGGCTGTGGTGCGTGTGCAGCCGGCCTGTGAGCACGGCCTGGTGGTGCGCCCCACGTGGGCCCCATACAGCAGCCCGCCTGCCCGGCGGCTGGCAGCACGGGACCGCAGGCCTCCTGACTGTGCGGGGCTGACCCCGAGCCATTCACCCGGCCTCCGGGCCCGTGCAGCCTGCTTTCCTCTCCTAACGCTGTGCTCCCTCGGCCGGGACCCTCCGCGAATGATGAAGAACCTGCGGAAACGAATTAGTCTTCCAGCAGACCCAATCTCCCCGCCTGGGAGCGGGCACCGGCTGCCACCGCAGGCCCCGCTGTCCGGAGCACAGCCAGAGCCCTGAGTGAGTGAGTGAGTGAGTGAGCCGTCCCCGATGATACGCTGCCTGGCGCTGCGTTCCGACGGCCACCCAGCCACGTCCTGGCCCAGGGACGGCCTCCCGGATCTGCCCCAATAAGGAGCTGAGAGCGCTGGCGGGATGTCACAGGCACGCTGCCCTCCTAACTAACGCAGGCAGCACCCAGGGGCCTGCTCCTGGCAGAAGCTTCGTTGCCGTAGGACGAAAGCCCTCACCAAGGGTTCATTCCTTCCGCGCCAGTCTGGGGGCCCCACCCCCTCCCACCCCTCTCCCTGCCGCCTTCTCCCCCCGCCCCTCCTTGTCCTCCCGGGCATGGGGACATCTACACTACTTTCTTGGGGCCATGGGATTGCCACAGCACCCCTCAGACACCTGCACCCCATCCCCCATCACCACAGCTCCGACGATTCCTCCCACCAGGAGGGGCCAGGGCAGAAGGGAGAGGCTGTTCTGTTTGGCAGACACACCACCCGGTCAGGAGCCCGCCCAGCGCCCTCTTCACTCAGAAGGTCCCACCGCGCTGCTGCCAGACCAGCTGCCAGACCAATATGGGAAGGCAGGCCCGGGCCCAGGCTGCTCCCATCGGAGCTTCGGAGCTGCCCGGGAACACCTGGCAGAGGCAGGCGGGACGAGGTCCCTCACCACGCGAGCCCCTGAGATTTCCTGGCAGTAAACCCCAGATCACGTGGGTCTCCTACCTTAACAAGGCAGCGCTGGTGACATTGCCGGGGATTCTGCCAGGCCAGTACGCCACCGCCGGGACCCGGTGGCCTCCTTCCCAGGTGGTCTGCTTGGCTGGGCTTCCCCCTGGAAAGGAGGGGCAGTGGGTGTGTTGACAGGTGACTCCAGGCTCCCCCTCTCGCCGCCGCCCTCTGGCACAGCGGTCCCTCCCTCAGGGGGCCACCAGGAGCCTCTGAGAACACAACAGTAACCAGCTATTTATTTATTTATTTTTTTACAATATATTTTTAAAAACCTTCACCCAAGGGCCAAAACCGGTTTGGCTCAGTGGACAGATCGTCGGCTTGGGGACTGAAGGACCCGGGTTCGATTCTGGTCAAGGGCATGTACCTTGGTTGCAGGCACATCCCCAGCTGATCGATGACTCTCATCGATGTTTCTAGCTCTCTCTCTCCCTTCCTCTCTGTACAAAATCAATAAAATATATATAAAAAAAAAAAAGAAAGTGCTATTTAGGGAAATGCAAATGGATTAAAACATTAAAAAAATAAATAAAAATAAAATCTTCACCCAAGGACATTTTCCCATTGATTTTTAGAGAGAGGAGAAGCGAGAGGGAAAGAGAGAGAAACACATCAATTGGTTGCCTCCTGCAGAAGCTCTGATCAGGGCCCGGCCTGGGGAGGAGCCTGCAACTGAGGGACACGTCCTTGACCACTATCAAACCCGAGACCCTTCAGTGCACAGGCCGACGCTCTATCCACTGAGCCAAACTGGCCAGAGCAAAACCAGCTACTTTTATTCAGGTGGTTAATATCTTTCAATACGTGCTTCTATTTTACTGGACTCAACATACACAAGGAGTGGCCTCTGTCCCTCCCTGTCTCCTTCACGACACTTCCCACTTCACACCATCTGGTTTACGGGCTGACGGTGAATCCACACCATGAGACTTCACGGCTCCCGGGCCCGGGACACGGGTACTTAACGAATACCTGTTAAAGCAAGTGCTCTGTCTTTCTACTGGTTATAATGGAATCATTTCAGATGAAAATATACAATGGGCCTGGTCGCCACAGCTCAGGGATTGACCTAGGAACCGAGAGGTCCAGGTTCGATCGCTGTCAGGGCACGTGCCCCGGTTGTGGGCTCGATCCCCAGTGCGGGGCGTGCAGGAGGCAGCCAATCAATGATTCTGATCATTGAAGTTTCTATTTCTCTCTCCCTCTCCCTTCCTCTCTGAAATCAATTTAAAAAATGTATTTTAAAAAAATACAGTTCTTTGAAGATAGGCAAAGCAGAACATTCCCCAGCTATGTGATCTGCCCAACGCCCAGCGCGGGTCTGGCCCGGGTTTCACTGTTGTCTTTGCTTTGTTTTTCCTTGAATCCATGAGTTGTTCTGATGTCGTGGAGACGCATTAGTAACAGTTCCAACCTCTGGCCTCTCAGGAGGAGGCGAGAGCAATCGCTGTGCAATCTATGAATTTCCACTTTGGTAACGAAGGGAATTCTTTCTGTGTCCGCCAAGGCCAACGTGACCACCGGTTTAACGATGACCGGCAGGCTGGAGGAGATGAGGTCATGGTTGATGGAAACATCCTGAATGCATGTTGCCTTGAGCTAACCGTGACCTCCCCACTCCCACACACACCCCACCCGCATCCTGGCTGAGCCAGGGATTCCGCAACGTTAGCGTGTGGAAAGCCCCGCCAGGGCAGGCGTGTGAGGCTCCCACGGACTGTGGTCATGCAACTCCCCCGTCCGGCTGGCGTGCATGGGAGAGCCAGGGCCACGGGAAGGAGGGACAACAAGACCGAGGCGTCTGCCCCGCTGCCCTCATGCCAGCCCGCCCAGGCCCACAGTCCGGGCCCTACATGCCACACCGGAGACTTTCTCATAGCCAGCTCTCGAGTGCCCGAAGCATTAAAGTGACAGTCAACACACAGAACAGCTCCCCTGCTGGGACTGTTCATGGTCAGGGGTGTGGGGCTCTCGAAACCAAGTGGCGTTGTATGGGCTGGACAGGGAGCCCTCTGGCCTGACCCAAAGGGTCTCAGAGACAGTCTTCCGCACGAGAAGCACCCGTTCCACAAACACGCAGAGCCACTCCCAACCACGATGCCCACGGCGAGAGGATCCAGAGCCACAGGAAGCACGGAACGCACTCCCATGGGGCTGCGGGTGCATGGCTTACGCCCCAGCTTAAGGCCAAGGAACAGGAAGGCAGGGAGGGTCCACGCTTGCCAGTGCAAAGCTCTGCAGAGAATTCCACGCCCATGAGGGGAATTTATGTGGAAGCCTGGGGGGGAGGAGAGGAGAGGGGGGATGGGAGGGTCAAGTGGATGGACCATGGAATCTGTTCATTTGCATGTCCACGGTGCACGCACTCTAGACCGGTCTGCTTAGTCGCTGAGGCCAGATGCTAAGGAAGGTGAAGCCTTAGCTGTGAAGTGAGCCGACAGTGCTGACAGCCAACCAGAAGGCGGGCAAGAGCGCTGTGCGTGGCGGGCGAGGGCCCCCAGGGTCGACCCGGGAGCTGGTCTCCACCTCCGGATGTTTCCAGAACGGTGCACTGGCCCCTAATGAACAAATCTGCTAATGGGCCTCTGCCACTGGGGAGTCTGCTTGTTTGCCACAAGCTTCTGTGTTTGCTGTTTTCAGAGGAGACTGTTTCCGTGTTTGCCTTACTGCAGCAGAGGGCTGAGAGCTGGAGGGGCTGCAAGGCACTCGGTCAGTTATAAGATGTGTACATGCCAACCCAGTGCAGAGTTCACAGGCTCAGAGCTAAGAGGAGGCGAGAAGAGGGCTGGCTGAGCGAAGCCCTCGGCAGGTCCACTGGATGGCCCACCCCTCTCCCCCCCACCCCCCCACGTCTGGCTGTGCCCTGGGTTCTGGCTCTCACAGAGCCAGGGTTCAAAATCCCAGCCACGCCCAGAGACCTCGCAATCGAAAGCCATCTATCTGAAATGCACCCGGGTGTGCACAAGCAGTTATAAAAGTGTGTGACCCCAGTCTTACTCTGAATCCCAGCGTCTGCGGTACCGCTGGGGGTGGACAGACTCACAAAACCCACTTGGCGTTTCCCATGGGTGCCCGGGGCTGTGGGGTCTGGTGATCAGAGGAACGCTCCTCGTTGTGATTTGTCGGCACCAGCAGAGGCGAATCCCAGGGGCGCTGCCTCCGGGCCCCCAGGACTGCCCAGTGCCGCCTGCTCCTACGAATGGGACCTCATTTCCAGTTAAACTACAGCAACACGAGCACCTCCTGTTCACGGAGCCCTGCCTACGCGCCGAGGTAAGCACCCCTGGGTGCAACACGGAGGGCTTCCCTCCTTTAATCCTTTCCATCACCTGGAGAGCCAGGTGCCTCTTACGCCCGTTTTTCAGATGAAGAAACTGAAGCTCAGAGAGGTTAAGGAATTTGCCCAAGGTCACACAGCTAGCAAACATGAGAGCCAGGATTTGAGTCCAGGTCTAATCACATAGCCAACCCTCTCAGCCATTAAATCTTCTAGGTCGGCGTGCCCACCCATCCCTGAATGCACGGTAGACTCACCAGGGGAGCCTTGAAAAATGCCCACACTGAGGACCCTTCCCTAGAAACCGTGACTTCACTGGCCCGGGATGCACGCCGGTGAGGAGCATCCATTCCAGAAGCAGGAGGGCGGGGTCATGGCCACAAGTGGACACTACGCACTGAGTAAAAATCAAATGCAGCCTCGTGCTTTCAACCACAGGGTTTTATGCTGCCCACACCTCTGCACCTTTAAGACGCAGGATCGAGAATAGGAACCCGTGAGTTGTCATAAGAACAGGTGAGCCCGTAGAGTAAATGTCTACGAACTCTGATTCCAGAAGCCATTTCTTGGCGAGGATGAGCCCTTGCACACACACCCCCTTCTCCCCCGACTGTGGCGCGCACGGGAGAAGCGCTGGCTGCGTGTGGGCTTCTGCTGGGAAAGGCCTGCCTGCCCACGGGCGTGAGAAGGCATTGCAGTGCGCCTGCGGTGAGCCATGGCTCTCATTAAGGCAGAGCCTCTTACTTACAGCAGTAACTATTTAGCCCCAGCAACCGAAGGATAAACAGAACCGTGATTCACGGAGCTGCCTCCCTGGTCTTCCCTGGCTACGGCAGTGACGTGCCTCCCCCCGGGCGTGGAGGCAGGGCCGGCCACACTCAGGAACAGCAGCCTCTCCCCGAAGGGACGCAGGGCCTCACTGAGTCAGGAAGACGGCACGCGCCCCTTCTTCACAGAGGGGGACCCCGGCTTACGAGGTCCAGGGGGACTCGGGGGTAGGGGGCCCCAGTGCCGGGGGTCTGAGGGAGGTTAGCAGGGTGAGTGGGAGGCTCCTTGGGCACCGGCAGACCCCAGGTCTGGCTCCAGGGCCACGATGCTCGCTGGGTGGCCTGAGGCGGAACTCTGAACACCCCGTCTGGCTCAGTCTCCCCGGCCACGAAGGGCAAACACGATGGTATTTCTCTCCCGGGGCTGGGCGGAAAGCTACAGAAGTGAATGTGTGTGAAATTCGAAGCAAGAGCCTTTGGCATGGTGCCTGCCATGAAGTGCCATCCAAAAATAAAAAATTTGCCCGGCCAGCGTGGCTCAGTGGTTGAGCATTGACCTATGAACCAGGAGGTCATGGTTTGATTTCCGGTCAGGGCACATGTAGGGGTCTTGGAGGAGGCAGCCGATCAATGATTCTTTCTCATAATCTTTCTTTCTCTCATAATCTCTCTCTCTCTCTCTCTCTCTCTCTCTCCCTCCCTCCCTCCCTCCCTCCCTCCCTCCCTCCCTCCCCAAAATCAATAAAAATATGTTAAAAACAACAACAACAACAACAACTGAAAATTACCTACAGGCAGAGAACAGACGAAGTTGCCACCTGACGGCTCACACACTGAGCTGAGCCCTCTGACGCGTGGTTTGGCGAGGATGGTTTGCTTTTGTTTAAACTGATTTTCTACGTCTTTGGACAGGACCCAGTCTGCAGGGTCCTGAATCCCCGACCGGCCCATGCCGACACGGACACCGGGCCACTCGGATCCCCTGCCCGGCCGCGAAGGCGCTGGACCGGTGGCTTGGGCAGAGAACACGCCTGTGCTGAGGTACGCACGTCCTCCAGC